GCTCTTCTCGTTCAAAAAAGGCCCCGGAGGACCTCACTATCTTTCGAGGGTCACCAGGACAGAGCCCGCTTAAACGCGTGAAGAAGCACGACGAGCACCGTCGGAACAAATTCTTGCTCTGAAGCCCTCGAAGAGCAAGACGCAGAGCGCTCAATATGGTAAATGATGGCCGCCTGTGTGGCGCATGATCGCGACATCGCGGCCTCTGCCCGGCCCGTACCTAATATGATGGCGTATGAGAGCTGTCCAGCCCAACAACGCCACGCAGCTGCGGAGCTCCCTCTTTAAGGCTCCTCTTTCTTCTGCTTGTGCATCCGGCATTGGCATACCTCGTCATCAACTCGTCATACCTGTCTTATCCATACCACGGACCATGCAGCTCCTTTTATGACGGACTTGCGTTGTGTGTATTGGGTGGGTGTACACTTTAGCGCCTTCCGCCCTTAGCGCTAACAGTGCTCCATTTCTCTTAGGGTGTACGTCGGTCACAAGGGCTTCCACACCTCTGCTACGAAAAGCCTTCGTTCACTTCGTCTTTGTGGGTTTCGCAAATATTGCATCACATCCTATCCAATCTATTCCAGTGGATTACCCTATCTCCTTGATTAGTGGACTTCTCTGGAGCTGGGGAAGAAGCCCCGGGACGCTCGTTCAAGGGACCTGTACCCTAGCCGAGCCCCTGCAGGTGTAATCGCCCAATCCCCACATCGGACGCGAAAGGAAGCACATCTAATGCTCATGCTCGTCCACGAGTGTGGGCCTGTCATCCACATTGTGGAGCAGTTATTCTTGTCTTTCTCGAAGGCGCTGGTACAGTTGTATCATATCAGAAGAAGAGATAGAGGCTAGAGCGCCTTTATTCCCTGACTTTTTGACGCCATTTGTTTGTTGGCTTCCCCGTATCTTTAACCCGCTTCATTTCCCGTCCTCGGTCCCAGTGGCCTACATTCCGTCTCTTTTTGGCTGAAAGACCGAGTGGCATGCAATCAAAACAAGACGATCATCGCCCAATGCTCAGGGCTTCTATCATAGTGAGCCGCTTATGGAGTGAGAGTAACGAGCTCCATCCGACTGTATGTTATCAACGAGTTGAAGCCCGAAAGCAAGAATTTGCTTTCATTTACTTCCTGATACGGCTCAGCATGTAGTATTTGCCACCGGCCATGCCTATCTAGCAGCATCCCGTGGACGAAGCTGCTGCATCTTTACGGAAAGAAGCGCGCAGCGACCGTATGCGCCCGCATTCACTGTCAGGGCTCCTTATCACCTTCAACTCCAGGATGGGAATCGGGAGCCTGGGATCTGTGAAGACAGGACCCTTCCAAAGTGCCACGTTCTTTTTAGGAAGTTCGGTGAGATGCATCTGTGTTCGTGTCGTGTCCCATTTCACCGGGCTGAGCCTCCCTCACTGGTTGGGTTGACGAATTAACGTCTATTTTCTTAATAAAAGTACGATATAATTGATCTTGTCGGGTGCTAAGTTTGAATAGTGATCTTAAAAGTCCTGGGCCTCCTGGCGATCGTCCTCGAAGTGACTAGAAGCACTCTTCAAGAATCAGCCGTTCTTCAAAGTACGGGTAGAAAGAAACTCCTGGAGGCAGCAAGGAGGAAGTCGAGACTTCAGAGTGGTGATCTCCTTGAACGTCGCAATGAGGAACATCCGAGTGGCGTGTCTGGCGGGCGGTCCTCACACTCCAGGCGTGCTCGGCCTCGAGGGTATCCTACAGTGAGATGCTAATCGGTGTTGCAACCTAAAGACTGCCTGAATTTAGTGAGGCTTTCATCGCTTTCTCCAATCCAAATTTAAATATCTTGCGCTTTGACGCGAAGCCAATATACCAGCGCCGTATCGCGTCGACAATGGGAACCCTCCTCGATTTAAAATCCAACAACTGGCTCCATCCACAGCAGTCAGCAGACAAGTGCACGAGAAGCGTTGGATACATCCTCGCTTACAGCAGCGAGCCTGATAATCCCTGTGGTCCCTTTCTCCTCGACCCGAAAGGCAATGTTGGGGAGCAATTTCAAATCAAGATCAACGAACACGTCCTCAAATGACAGGAAAGAACCAACGCCGTGCTCCCGTTTCAAGTTTTCTAGCTCAGTCGGAATCGGACCGTGGTCTCTTGGTCTCGCATCAGTCACACTCGCCAACGGGGTGAGAGGGGTGAGACGGTCTCGCAGTGCTCAAGATAATTGGGAAGTTTGCCAGATTATTAGTAGATGCATTATGGCAAATTGTCGAAGAAACTTTGCAGCAAGTGAGACAAGATATTTGCGAATGGGCCCCAACATATTTTTGGGGACTCACCTTCCTTTTCAGCGAGGACCGAAAGTATTGTCAGCGAATTGTCGAAGGTTGAATAGACAGTTGAACGCTGACAGGCGTCGGAGCTCGTCGGAGAGACGAATTGCTCAGGCACGTTATGACGCAGAACTAATTACGCGCCTGAGCGAAGTCCTTTGGAAAAGGAATTCTTTGTCCTACTTGTGTGGCGCACCTTGGCGCGTTGCCACAACCCTAGTGCAACAAAGGAAACAGATGTCTGAGCAACCGCGACTTCATGTATGAAATTATTCGCCTTTCAGAAGCGACTTCTGGGCCACACTTGACTATTTTGTAGCCAGATTGTTATTTTGCGCGAAATGCTTTGCAGCAGCGACAACCGCCGTTGGACGAACAAACGTCGTGCTTTCGGAAGCCACTCTCTGAGACGCTGAGTGCCGATTCCTCGTAGAGAATGACAAGGAAACAGGCTGCTTAAAGGACGTATGATACTAATCAAAACAGCGGTCCACCAGGAACATAGCTGGTCGGGGCGGTCTCTGGGGGCAATAGCTCAACTGTGCGGGGAAAGGAATGTCGCCGATTGTGACTGGTCAGATGTCCTATTTAATGCGTGTAGCCGACTGTATGCAAACTCATTATGACAAGACCAAGTGTCAGTCATACGAAGAACGGATATGACGAGATAAAGAAAAAAAAATTGAAAGCCTCGCAGGACCGCAACACATAGGTAATGAAAGCCGTGCTATTGAAAGCACAGACGTACCTACAATTTGAACCTATGGTATACATGCAAGCCGACGCTCGCGAGACGCGCGGGTTGTGATCAGCGAGGGAGCAATCGCGTATGTTATTCCGGCACGAAAAGCCGTCTGACTGACGCCGCGCAAAAGGCTTTAATTCCATAAGTGATGGGCCGGTCCTTCCTTCCGATGCCGCCAAGGAGGCGTCAGATTCCAGAAAGACCGCGGGTGGTTGGAGATGTGGCGCTGGAGAGATGGATGGCTTTGGATGGTCAAAGGAAGACCTGATGTCATTCAAGCCAAGAGTTCATTCACTTGAAGGAATCCAACTTGTCTTTTCAAGGAGCTTGAACCCCGAGGTCGTAATCTTCATGAACATTAGTAGATCTGAACCATTCACGAGAATTCCAGAGCCTGCTTCCTCGTATTGACCGAGCCATGAATCATTCATAAAAGCATCCACAAGAGATTTAATCAAGCGACCGGAGGTGATTGCCATGCACAACCGACAGTCCTATAGACGTTGAAAGGAAAGAAATGCCGCAGTAGCAGAGCAGAGTACATTTGGGCCTCGAGAACGAGAAGAACAGAGCCAAGCCCTTCTTCGAAGTGGCAGCACACGCGGTCCTTGACTTTGAGGGCACTGAGCTCTAACTACGTACTCATCACCTCCTGTGGAGTCGGATAAAGAAACCTTCGTGCTTCACCGCAGCACCTCGGGATGCTGGCAAGGGAACTTCTGCCAACGAGCATCTACCGCGACATGGAATGCTTGGCGATTGCGAGCGCTGGAAGGAGAAGCTGCTCGGAGTATCCAGAGTCCAAGTATTTGCCCTTGGGCCACCTGGCAAAGAATTCTTGGATTGACCACCGGCGGCGGACTGGAGTGACGCAGTAACACCGGTGAGCCCCCGGCCGCGTTGATCCAGTCGATTGCAGACACAGGTTCCTAGTAAGTGCGTTCAAAAGAAAGACTTCGGGGAATGGAAGATTCCTGACATATAAGATGGCGAGGAAACGTCGTGTTGGGTCTTGAGGTTAACTTCAAGAGATTGAAAGGATTGGACAACTGCTCACCAAAGTCGCCGAAGCTCAAGGTCCATGCCCATGGTCCGGGAACCCAACAAACGTGTACACGAACGACCTTTGAGAGGGAGTGCAGTAAAGCGACGTCCAGTAGAAATTTTTGAGGGTGCTCGAGAGGTTGATACATCTGCCACATCATCACTTGCAAGTACATAAGTAACAAGCGAGCAGAAGGCCAACGTGGACGCTCACCGTAATGTAATGCCTCGAGGCATTTGCATTTGCAGGGATAGGAAGGGTCTCCAAAACCTAACGGAGTCCGGGATATGCATGACAAGTCTTCTGTTCATGCTGTCGTGCGATAAGAGTTCGGTCCAAACTTGCGACTGACCGAACATTCTCAATGCAGGAAAAAAAACTTTTAAGAGCAAAAGATCGCTCGGAAAGATCCTCCATGACGCGAGGCATCAAAGAAATCTTCCGTTCCAACCGCCGCAATAGGGAGGTGAGTAATAAAGAACATACCGATACTACCACGCCAAATCGCACGCCGCTACAAACGTTGTTTGATGACATTCCAATGAATGGCCGGCGGGTTGTAGAAGTTCGTAGACGTCTTTAACGAAGCTGGATCAGCTGAGGTGTAATAGAAGGCCGGCGAGCCAGAATATGAAAGGCGAACTGCAACGGAAATGTGGTCAACCCTACCCTATGGATTGGTCGGAAGAAGCGATCACGAATGGTCATGATATAAAAATACTATGATATAACAGATGTGCGTGTTGGGGTATAGGTGAATATCCCGCTACAAGGAAGAATACTTTAGCAACATAACAAACAGTAAGTGTTGAACTCGTGAGGTGTCTCGTAAGTAATGGTGGTGGCGTGCAGGATTAGGCGGGCGTGCAGGAGCTATGGGTGAGGTAGGGACGATGTAGTGTTACTCATGCTACTGTCTTTTTGTCCTTGGAGGGCTGAACAGTTTGGGTAACCGTGATCACCGAATCGTCGTTGAGGTTAGACTGCGGGCCAATGTAGTGCTTGCGGGCAGAACTGAAGTACCAGATGCTGAAAAAGAGAGAAAATAAGCGGCAGGGTCGACTTGAAGGAGCACAGGTAAACGTACTAAGCAAGAATGATAACACCAGCAGTGATGACCTTCGGAAAACGTTCAAGATCAGCAACTACAGGTGAAACTCGAACAAAAGCGACGCACCGAAGCATAGTTCATATTATCCGGTGTAACGGGAAGGATCGTTGGGATCGAGAACACCACACAAATGAACAGCGTCCAGGCGATGCAAATAACATTGCAGGCTAAACCCAGCCATCCGGTGCCCATGAAGAAAGGACCAGGCTTGAACATCACCTCAGGGTGGCTATGGAACACCCGGCGGCAGAAAATCGGGATGACGTAGCTCAGGTCGAGTGCCATCGCAGTCAGGGAGAAGATGGCATTGGCAGCGACGGGGCTCGCGAGATCGAGCAGGCCCGGCAGGATCGACACCAGGGTTGTGAGCCAGATGGCACGGAGAGGGGTGTGGGTTTTGGTTGAGTTCTTTCCAAAGAAGCCATAGTCGGGTAGAGCTAGAGATACAAACGCGTCAGCTACGCACTGTTTGGTATTTATTTCAAAGTGAGGGCCACGCACCATGGTCGCGGCTGAACGCGTAGATGGTTCTCGAGGCGGCATGAAGGGCAGTTTGCACAACGAAGAAGGCGGTCAGGCAAACGAAGACCTGGTGAAGATCAGTCAGCACCGCTCAGTGCGGTCAAGAAGAACTATATCTTGCCCAGATGACGAGAGCCCCGGCTTTACCAGCACGCATCGTCAGGATTTCGAGAACGGCAGAGCCAGACGCGCCAGGCAGATTTTCCCTGAGGCGGAGATAATTTTAGTATTCGGGAGATCATCAAAATTTGTTGGACTCTCACAGAGGACCAGAGCAAAGAACCAGGATGATGTTGAGAAGCCAACCGATCAAGCCAGTGCCGACAACTAGATTCAAAATTAGTTTTGACGTTGACTATGATACATATGTAACACACCAGCAATAAAAATGGCGGAAGGAGCAGCGTATGCGGCGCGACGAACTTCTTCACTGTACGAATCAGTTGGTAACATGAAAATAAAGCGAGGTAAAATCCGGACTTACGAGATGTGAGCTGTTGCATCATAATCCTGCTCAAAAGTGAGCTACCGCTCATTCAATCTGAAGGAAGTCAACATACCGTCATCTAAATCAGAGCAAACCAAATTAGTAACAGATTTGACAGAGGAAAGTGTAGACGCACCGTCCATTGGACAGAAAGCAGACCAAACAAAAACGCTAGTCCAGTGTTCCATCCTCCTGTCTGGTTCACGATACCCGCGGTACCAAAGACGTAGTCAGCTGCATGCATCTCTGCACGAGGTGTCTTCGCGAGCAGAACGATAATGATGATGAACGTCGTCCCAAGGTTGACAAAAACAAAGCCCTTTGTGAGGAAGGCGAGATGGCGTGTCGCGAGCGAGTTGAGGAGACCATGCAGGACGAGGAGGCCAGCGAAGAGACCCACGACCTTGCCTGCCGTAATTTCGAAGTCGCCATCCTAATACAAGACGGGAGAAGAACGGTAAACTTGGCGTCTCGTGGTGTATTTTTAACCCGGTCTGATGACTTACTCTCCCAATGCTGACCGCAGCGAGGATCATATTCGACAGACCGAACTCTGTCGACGAGATACCAGCGATTTGGCCTGCACGAAGAACGCTCAAATTCATCGTCAAATTCGTAGAAGGGACGGGCAGGCGAACCTAGGATGTTCAGCCATCCTACTAACCAACCAACCTGAAAATTGTTAGTGATGTCATCTCAAGATCTCAAGAGGAGCGATAAAGCCATACCCTAGCCCTATGTTTCTTGGGTACGAGCTCAGCGGAGGCTGTGTATCTTCGAGAATCGTTAGCATCTTTCCTTGCACCTCGGGCTTGGAAGCACTCACAGACCACCGCAAGTCGGGTACGCACTGACAATCTCCGCAATACTAGCACCAAGAGTGAAGCACATGGACGCCCCGAGAATCCAACACCACACGACCTATCGTCAATCAGCCTCACGTTCACAACACTGAGGGTAGGGGATTCACCGAGGCGGGGCCACCGAGCAGGAGAGGGGTGTTGAACGTCGTCGATATACTTGAGCACAGTCCCTACAAGAAGCCAACTTTGTTAGAATGACAGATGGTGCCAACGACAACAGATCCCCCACCATGATACTGAACGCGAAGCTGATCTAGGGTGTGCATGAGGAAAACAGATCCTGGATAAGAACTGTGCGGCGTACCGTAGCCAGGTTGGAGAACTCCCGCTTGAACGAGGGCTTGTAGCCCAGCGCTACCAACTCCCTATCGTCCTCATCCGTCGTATCGAACGATGGGTCCCGTTTTTCGTCGAATTCCGACATTGTGTGCGCGGTTTTCGTTGGTGGGCTGAATGAAGGGCAAAGCTACAGCTTCAAGTATGCGGGGGAAGCTGCCAATTAAGCTCCAACTAGGCCGGGGTGGTCGAGGTGGCTCAGGAAGAGAAACAGATTTCTTCCACGGGTATACATATGGGCGAGGTGGTTGCACATGTCAAAATGGAGGAACGATCGAAATAGCCCCGCCACCTGATAAGCGATTTTTTCAGCTTCGGTTTCTCTTCTTCGAGCTTTACGCACCTCGGTGACCTCGCCCTGGCTTCTATTTGTGGGTCCCCTTGACTGTGTATAATTAAAAAAGGCTCGAAGGTTGCGAAAAGAGCAGATGTGAGGCCGGACAGACTCCAACACCAGCGCACTGTACCACCACGATGCCGAGACCCTTTAGCCTGATATCTCGACCGACGACTCGGCCGCTGTAAGGAAAGGTGAGGAAATTGATAACGCACCTCTTAGGAATGCGAGAAGCTTTGGGGGCAAAATTTGAGGTGGACATTGGACAGCCTATGCTTTTCTACTTTTGGTTCCGCTCAACGTTAGACTTTATAAAGATTCATATCTTTCACCTGTCTTTTACTAACCAACCGCCGAGAGTCTTTTACGCACGTTCATGACCATTCCCAGCGAGAATCACGCTATAAAGCAATGCCGCATGGGGCGGACAGTGTTATCTATAACCTCATGGTCAATCGTTCTCCAAAGGGCCAGCTAGAGTAGAATTATTGTCTTGACTGTGGGGACTGGCGAGAAGAAAGAGGGAAGGATCAACTAATCAAACCGGCGCGTCAGGATCATTCGCCTCAGGAAAATTCCCCGGCCGTTTCTTTATACTTAAAAAGTGGCTTGACTTGAGAGGGACTGGTAATACACAAGAAATATGGTATGTAGCTGGCTGGATAGATCATGTCAATCATGTCGTGTAGCATAAACAATCATGGGTGCCAATGCATTTGAATCATGACGAGAAACGAGGAGGAAAAAATGATATTCACAGCAAAGTCGATAACATGAACGAAAACAAGCACAATTTAACATCGAAAGCAAAGCGAATAATTAGAGAAAAGAAAAAACGCGAGGGAGAACAGAGCAAAGGGTCCATTAAGATTGCAAGAAATGAGGTAAAATGCAACCGGACGAGGTACGCCTCATCTGTATCATCCAGAAAGGACAGGCACCCTCTTCCTCGCTGACGAAGGGGTGGCGTTCTCTTTCTCGTCAACCTCCGAGAGGACGCTCGGCGCAGGGCTGGCGTTGACCGTCGCCCTCGCGATCTTCGTCCGGGAAGGGGTGCCCTGTTCAAGTGTTGCAACACTCGAGACCCGCCGATGAGGGACCGGTGTCACAGACTGGGGCGTCATCGACGTTCTCGCCGACGAGCTGCGGGATAATGAAGCCACTCGGGCTGAGATGCCAGGCGTCGGAGTCCCGACGAGTGATGGTCGTGCCGCTGCCTTTGGTGGAGGCGGGCCCATCGCCCCATCCACACTACTCGTGCGTGAAAGAGGTTTCTTCGCCGATGAAAACGAACCAGGGGCGGTGCTGTTAACCCGAGTACTCTTTCCCAAAGCCGATGTCCTTCCAGAGGCCGACAGCGGCGTTTCGGAAGAGTTCTTCCGTTCCTTTCGCCCTGTGCTCGCCGTGGTGCCGTCTGTGCCTGCATCGGAGAGGACAGACGGGGGTCTCGATGAGGTTGCGGCTGGCGTTGCAGTGAAGATAGCCGAGTCTCTTCGGTTGGCGATCTTCGACGCAGGCGCTGGTGTGCTGCCAGCCGTACCACGGACGCCAATTTTTCGCTTGAGCTGGAAGCAAAGAAATCAGCATCGCCGGAATATAGAACAGAAGGAAATAAAACGACAAAAACTCACCAGCTCAAGTTCTTGCTGCTTCGAATCCAGTGCGATGTTGAGCCCTTGCAAGTCTTCCTTGTCCTGAGAGTGTTGCTTCGACATCTGGACTATCTTCAAATCCTTGTCGGCGCTTTCCTGCTGGAGAACATGGATCTGCCTCCTGAGACGTTCGACCTCCTCCCTCACAACTGTCAGACGATCCTTGGACGTCTTCAGCTCAACATCCACCTCGGCCTTGGCGCGGATGAGGTCCTCATGCGAGCCGTTGTCTGGTCTTGGTGGCCAGCAGCATCTTGCAGTGCTCGAGCCTGCTCGTTCATGAGGCGGGCATGTTCTCGCCTGAGCGTGCTCATCTGGTCTTGAAGTTCCTCGAGCTCTGCGGTCTTCTGCGATAGAGTCTGATTGAGCTGGACAATCTCTTCGTCGCGGTTGTGGAGGTTCTCCTCCAGCCGAGCGGTGTTCTCGTTAGCAAACTGTTGTTCTTGCTCCAGCTCGGATATGCGGTGTTCGTGTTGTTGGACGTCCTGGGTGAGTTGTTGGACGGCTTGTTGTTCGTGCTGAAGGGCATCTTCGAGCTAGGGAGGTATTAACGTTAGCACGCGACAAGAGAAAGGAAAGATAGAGGCACACCTCGCCACGTTCCTTCTCGAGCTCGTCCTTCATATTCCACACCTCTTGGAGCTCAGCTTCCAGCTCGTTCTTCTTGTTCTCGCTCTCGTTCCACTCAACCTCCATATTCGACGTCCTGACCTCATACTCTTGCACATCTGCCTTCAAAGCATCTCTTTCTGCCTCCAGGTCCGCTTTCTCCCTCTCCAGAATCTCCATCTTCTCACCTGCCTTCTCTGTATGCTCCCACTGCGCCTCTAGCTCCGCCTTGAGCGTCGCATACTCCTCTTCCTTCGTCTTCAATAGGCCATTCACATGCTCCACCTGCTCCTCCCAACGCGCCTTCTCTACCTGGAGGCCCTCATACCGCGCCTTGAGCTCGTCGAGCTCCTGTCGCACCGCGAGCTCTGCAAGGCGGAACCGCTGCGTCTCCTCAGAGTTTTTCTGGTCCTTCTCCATCATCAGTCTCCTCAGCTCCTCCTCGTCGATGCCAATACTGATGTTGCCCATCATGTCGATCTGCTCCTTCGCCTCGCGAATGCCCTCGTTGAGCTGGCGCTCGCACTCATCGCGGCTCCAAAGAGTCTCCTTCAGGTTCGCCACGTCCTCGCTCTTCTCCTTGAGCAGGCCCTCGAGCTGAGTTACCTCAGCCTGTAGAGCGCCCTCCTTCCGAAGCCAATCGCCCTTCTCTCGCTCGAGGGCGGCGATCTGCCGGTGCAGCATCCGCAATGCCTCGCTGGACGCCTCGTCCATTACGCTCCGCTCCATGCTCTCCTGTCGCGAGTGGTCGACGGCCTCCTCGAGCTGCCGGCACGCCCGCTCGAGCTCCTGCACCTTCTTCTTCCACGCCCGCAAAGCGTTCTTACGCTTGCCCTCGTCCTTCTCGACATCCGCGAGCTTCTTGCTCAGCATATTAACGAGCTCGTCACGAGCCTTTAGGTCAGCCTCGTACTGAGCACACAAGTCGGATTGAAGTTGCAGTTGAGTTTGCAAAGAGATAATGAGGCTCTCCTCTTTCGAGGTCTTCCGGTGGTGCGTTGGAAGGCCTTTCGGCGGCGTGGTGGGTATCATCGTCTGAGGGGTATAGTAGGTGTTCGCATTGGCACTGAACGGATCAGGCTCTGCAGCAGCACCAGCGGAATAGACGACGAGACCAGAGCTAGACTCGTCGTTGATGTCAGCCTCTGGCCGCGTCGACTTCGAAGAGGATCGAAGCATCGTCTGGAAGACAGTGTCGCTGAGGGCTCTGCTTCGCCCTTTGGCGGAAGGAGGAGTTGGCCGGTCAGCAGATGAGGCGGTGCTGTCGGGCTTGAGGTCGCTCGAAGGGTACGCCGTCTCGCTGTCTTGAGCGGACTTCTCACCTGTAGAGTTCGCCATCGAATAAAAAACGGTTTGTCCGAAGCTGAAGGATTGGCTCCGTTCGTGCAGCGCTGCAGGAAGCTTGGCGCCCTTCTCCTTTGCATGGAAAATGGTCTCGTCGATGATGGCAGGAGAGGGCGCTGGAACTTCGACGCTTTCTTCGACCAGAGGCTCCTCGATGGCCCTCTCCTTGCCCTTGCCCTTGGCCGGCGTGGATGTCATCTGATTTCCTCGCTCGATCGAGTTCTCGTCTCTGACGACGTAGCTAATGTCGTTAGCAGACGTGTCGAAAGACGACGGTTCGAATAGCGGTGCATTAACGTCAAATCCGAGCCCAGGCGGGAAAGGAGTTATATCCAGCTGTTGAGACACATCAAAAAGGTTGGAATAGTCGGAAATCCTGGCGGCGGTGGCGGCGGGGTTTGAGAGCGATAGCGACATATCGGAGCCCTCCGCAGGTACGGAGTTCTCCTTGTTGGAGAGAGGAGAAAAGATCTCATTCAATTTAGGCCTTGGCCTCGAGATCCGCGACAACGAGGAAGGGCTTCCAGAACCAGAAGAATCCGCTTGACTGATACGTTCGTAATATGAGTTCTCGTCTGGTGGTAGAGGGGGTTGAGGTTTGTTTTGGAGTTCGGTGCTAAGAGACTGATCGGGCGTGATGATTTTGAAAGCCTCCTTGGGGAAGAAACGAACGCTTTGTCCTGTTCCGGGCGTGTTGCGGTCGCGCAAGATAGAGCGGACTGAGCCGCTATTCATGTTTGGTGGCGCCGGGGTGGAAAGGAGATTAGGGTTCGCGGGGAGATCGTTGAGGCCGACGGAACTTTGTGACTGGGCAGAGTCCTCGCGGAGAAGATCTAACGAAGGGCGACGGTGGGTGTCGCGAACCGATCTCGTTGTGTTCTGACTTCGACGTGGTGGAGAAGGGCGAAGCATGTCGAAAGACGAGCGTCTTGCTACGCCTGATTTACTTCCTCCTGATGGAGAACCTTGAGAACCTATGTAGGGTAAGTCAAGACGATCTAGTGATCAGCTCCTCACACACCAATAAAATGGGTCTCGTCGTCAGTGTTCTTTCCTTTTCTTGAAAGGCCTGGTGGCAAAAAGGGAGATGGGGATCGCTGAGAATCCTCTTTGAAGATTGGCTTTGGCAAACGTGCGGCTTGACTACTTTCTGCAAGAGATATATGAGAACCTGGGTTCCGTGGGGTGAGTTATGATAAGCACAGAAGAAGTTCAATAATTACCATTTGCGTTGGACCCCTCATCAAGTGGATTTCTTACTTTCTTCGGCGGTAACTGAAATGGTGATCCTGCCCTTTGAATTTCTAGGTCGTCCTTCAGCGCTGGTCTGGACAGCCGCTTGAACATGCTCTTCTTGCTGTGCACTGATGGAGAGCTGGGCTCCGCCCCCTGGTGTTGCATGACGCCGGATTCCGTAGGATTGTGAAAGACAGACATGTTGGGGTGTTGCTCCTGAACCTTCAAAAGAACTTCGCCAGTCGGAGAAGGCTCCTCCTTGGCTGCATGGTGCGGCTTCAGGAAGTTGCTGATTTTAGACAGCATCCTACAAGACTTCTTCAAGTTCTTTGAGATGTCGACCACTTCCCGGAGATGTGCTGAGAGCTGAGCACTGAGCGAGGGACGGTCCTGGTTGACGAAGTGTGTGACTGTGATGTTACGCGAGAGTCAACGACGCGATGGTCACATGATCGTGTCCGCCCAGACAATGCGCGTCAACAGACCCAAGCAAAATGGCAACGCGCGACGCATGTGTTCGATGTTGTTCCGAGTCTTACCACATGCACTGCATTTCCACTAGTACTTGGATCTGCAAGTCATTTCGGAATTCCTCCTTTTTATCAAGTGTGAAAGATGGCCCGTCTTCGGCTCCCAATCGTCTCGATCCCAAACCACAATTACTACTAGTCGGGCTTGCAGTGCACACAATCTTCTTCGAAGCTTCTTGGGGGGCCAAATTCTCAGAAATTTTGAGCTCTTTGGACTTTGAGCCTTCAGCGATTCTAGCGACTTACGAGTACTGCAGCATCGGGACAAGTGTTCATGCTGTCTCAAATCTGAAGCCTCCTAGGTCTATGCCAATATCAGCTGTGGTTCTTGAGGGTCTGTGTTTGCACTGATGGAGTCTGTTTGCAAAGTCACTTTGGTCTTCAGAGGGGTATTTCTTTGTCCAAGAGTACTTGAAGTGACACGACATTGATATTCATTGCATCCCCGCAATTCCTAACTACTGGCCGTCGATGACTCTTTGTTTCTGTGGCACGAAACTGTAGGAGGATTCTCTCGTCTTGCTTGCTTCTCTCTACTGCTCTGCTTCAAGTCTTTGCCTGCCAGCGGATTATTCTTACTCCGACCTTAAGTGCGACGAAGCTATGTCCACCATCTGCTTACTTTTCATAACTCACCAATTTATGCTTTGTCTAGGCAGTGAAGACATTTATTCTACTAACGCAAGTACTAAGAACTTCTGTTTCGCCGCTTTTGAGAAAATTATCCCACTCGCCTCCACGGTCTGGTACAATCACGTAATGGTGATCGTCATAGCTTATTCATTCTCTCTAGTACTCGAACCTCGACATCTCCAGCTCTTCACCGCTGCATGCGTAATACTCTTCTGGAGAACTCAGACTTCGTCTCATGATTAGCTTGTGCACGACCGAGCTCTCGCGCTTCGTCAGCAAAACATATCATGTCGAAGCATCAAAGTCTGCGAGCTTAGATCAATGTTTTTATTCGGCGCTTGTTGCTGTCTCCAACCCCTTTACATAGAATTAACTGGAACATGTGCTCGAGTGCTCAGCACTCAGCACTCAGCGCCGTCAAGCATGAACGTCTGGATGGCGTCAACTGTTCTTTACGGTCGACGTTGCTCTGACCAACCCGCTCGGAGATATGCCTTCCGGATTATTCAGACATTCGCGCTACTGCCTCTTCTCCACGCGAGCGGACTATGACGAGGTCGTAATCCTCGTGTCTCTCCCAAGATAGTCCGAGGGATCGTGTCGGAGCGTGGCGGTTGGACTACCTCTTTTGCCATCTGCCCCGTCTTCCATCTGATCTCTGTCCTGCTTCGAGACGCGTAAAGGGCTAAACCAGCGTGGATCGAAGAAAGCATTCGAGTTCAGACCTCGAAGACGCCATAGAAGGACCATCGCATACTGCGGAAGGAAATCTCCTTGGCCGATGACACATTTCGATCGAGCTCGACCGTCCGCCACCAAAGTACTTAAACGCCATGAATGTCAGACGGATTTCGACACGAGCTTGCTCCTTGCTCTACTGGTAGGCTCCTGGACGTCTCCTTGCCGACACCTCACGACACGCACGATACAAACGACGACTCCGACATGCGCACCGCCATTCTCGCCTTAGCCTCCTTCGTCTCGCTCGCGGTTGCCGCACCACCGACCACCGTCGAGACACGATCCCTCGACCAAATCTACCAAGCAGCCCAGAAGGAGACGGGCACTCTGCGCGTTGCCTGGGGCGGGGATCGTACGTGGTTCATTTGTCCATCGATGTTCGCAATTCTCATTGACAACCCCCTCGCGTTTAGTTGCCTCGAGCAGCGACGGAGTTACTGCAGCCTTCCGTGCCCGCTTTCCAGGAATCCAAGTCAACATCACGACTGACCTCTCCAAATACTGGGACTCCCGCATCGACCGCGCCTACCAGGTCAGCAATGGTACCGATGACGGCTATGACGTCGCTGTTCTGCAAGCCTTGCACGACTTCCCTCGTTGGAAGAGAGAGAGGCGTCTCCTGAACTACAAAGCCGCCAAATGGAACGATATATACCCCCAGTTTGTGGACCGCGACGGGGCGTATAATGGATTGTTCGTCTGTGAGTCTGATTCTCCCGACTCCGCAACGCTGTTACTTAAGCGTGGCCCTTAATAGTCGGCTTCGGCCAGAACATCGTCTACAACCCTAACTACTTCGATACCCCCTTCGCACAAAGCTATCTTGACTACCTCAAGCCCGAGTGGAAGGACAAGCTCATCCTGACGTACCCCAACGACGACGACGCCGTCCTCTACCTCTTCAAACTCATCGTCGACAAATATGGCTGGGGATACGTCGACAGGCTCGTTGCTCAGGGTGTCCAATGGGTCCGCGGTACGGCTACGCCCTCTCTCGTCCTGTCGCGCAACAACACCGCCGGCCTCTCGTTTACCTCCTATCCCTCCTCCCCGGACGTCGTCGCCAGGGACGGCACCGACGTCTACATGGTCTGGCCCCAGACCGGCACGATCTTCAAGAGCACCCCCGTTCCCGAGACGGCGAAGCTTTTCATCAGCTTCCTCCTCGACGACGAGTGGCAAAACACCGCCTCTGGCGGTGGGTTCGCCGCCCGCAAGTCTATCGACAAGAAAGGCGTGTTCAAGCAGCCTGGACTCGATCCCACCAGCTATTCCAGGTTCATGTCCGATCGCCAGCAGGTCGAGGCGTGGAGATTCCAGTTCGAAACCACGCTTGGTACACCGCAAGGTGGTAACCCGACATACTACACTGTCTAGTTATTTGACATTTCTTCGCTCTACTTTGTCTTGTCGCAGAAGCTTGTCGTAGTGCACATTGCTATTCACACTAAAGATAACAGAGGGGAAGGTAGAGTTTATCTACTCAGACAGCATGAGGTAATTCATGGCATCAGATGAACCAGATCTGGCAAGCGAAATCATAGGTTGAGAGCTGAGGCGCTTTTGGGCGTCTAACACTTTGGTTGATAGAGCGGGAGCTGTTTGCGTTTACAATATCATTATTAAACAAGGGGTGTAGTTGCGCATAGGTATACAAATGCGGTGCGAGCGCCAATATACGGTGTAACGAAAATTGTCGAATACTCATGCATTCATGCATGAGGAGGGGAATCAATGGTATAGGTAATTAGATATATACTTTATCTCCGAGAGTCCGAGAGTCCTAAGTGGTATAACAATACAATCGTCCTTTAAACTCCAACAGGTTTTATCTCGACATCCCCCAGCGGCAGGCCAAGCATCCTGCCAGGGTGGAAGATGTTGAGGACGTACATCGCCACGACAATCATTGCGCCGTCGAGGACATCTGATACAAGAAGACTCCAAAGTCAGAATGGACGCCTCGAACGAGACAACATAAAGGCGTACTAAAATAAACCTCTGTCTTGATGATGCGGCCCTCCCATCCGTCAGCCAGTTCAACTACTCGATAGATGGCACTACGATACAAATGCAAGTCAGTCTCATTGTCTTCCACCAAATTGCAACGGGCGAACGTACCGAATGAACAGGACGAGAGTGCTCAAACCAAGAGCATACACCATGATCTTGAGGCTGGGCCTGAACTGGCCTTGTACAGTAATTCACTGGCTTCTTGTACACCCCTGCCCAGTTGTACACAGTGACTTTTTGAGTGATAGGACTATGATCGGGTATGTTTCTTGAATCCTGTGGGTGAATATATGGTTGGATCACCATTTGCAACCTTTGTGGGAGAGGCGGCACTGCTTCCGCTGACAGGGATGGGAAAACATTCCAAAAGCAGAAATTGGGCAAAAAAATCGACCATCCTTCGTGACTCTTCCATGACACTAGAGACCAACTTTGAGAGTAAAAGATGTCTGAATATCATGTTCTGACTGACTGAAATGCAAATTTTGGGTTGGGCTATCACCAAGAGAGCTCCAGGGCCTTAAGATCATCTGGAGGGGGGAAATTGGTCATCGGTGATGGGGAATGTCACACCGCATCATAAGTGTGACACACCCGTCACGCTGCACCTTGATCCCCCGTTTTCCTCAATTTCGAACACATAACTGCTTTTTCTGCAAGCTCCTCAACACGCTTTATTACGGTCAACATGTCACGACCCATCCCCGGCTCCCGGCACAATTATCCGGCTCCCAAGGCTGTATCCAGCTTCCGAGGCTTGTGGTAATGAGCCGTGCTCTTCCAGGACGCTTCCGAGACATCTGGGAACGAGCCGTGCGCTTCCGAGGCACTTCCGAGGTGAGCCATGTTTCCGGCTCACTCCATTGTGTCTCCCAGCCATTGTCCCATTGTCCCATTGTCCTTCATTGTTCTCCTTGTCCCGGCTAAGTTATCTATTACATAATCATGGTCCATTATCCTACATAGCATAAATACCCATGTACAGTAGTAGATTCCTCAGTCGGAATATCGAACTCGACATACCCCCTTTGCTCTAGTTCACTGCCGGAATCCGGCTCCTCCCTGCTCATCCGAAATCGGGGACACCCAGACGTTGCGTGGTGGCGCAGCTGCCCTTTCCATCAAGCTGAAGCCAAGTCCCCACCCCATCCGGCACGGTCGTTACACAACACTAAACTACTTTAATACACCCCCATGGCAAAGCACGCAGCCTCCGACACGCTAAAAAAACGCCAAGAAGAAGAGGAAAAGGCAAGAGCTTACCGGATTGCTCATGCAATTTGGCTGGATGAGCAACAGAAGCCAAAAGACGAGCGCCTGTCTTACCGGGAGGTGGCTGAGGAGGCACGCAAGCGATGGCATGCCAAGACAGGCCACTGGCTGAAGCTGAATCACAACACCGTCCGTAATCACGCAACTGGCAAAACACGTCCTCGGGAGGAGACTAAATGGGATTCATCTCATTTGAGCGCCGTCGAAGAAGAAGAGGTTGTCAATTACCTCATTGAGACGGCAGCTCAGGGCTTCGGGCTGTCACATCGTCATTTGAAGGAGCACGTCATAGAGCTCTGCCGAGCGCATTATGGCACCTCCTTTCCTGGTCTTGGGAAGCACTGGTCCCACCGCTTTGTTGAGCGGCATCATGAACACCTTCATGTATACCGGACTCGGCCACTCCATGATGTCCGAGGGAAAGCTGCAAACCCAGAAAACCATAAGGCCTGGTGTGATCTCGTTGAGAACGTCCAGCTGCATGGAGATGAGGGCAACGCAATTGCACCTGAGAACACGTACACACTGGATGAGGCAGGTTTTCAGGCTAACGGTGATGAGGGAGAAGAGTGGGTGATTGGCGGAGTGGGCAAGAACGTCCAGTACCAGCAGCAAGCTGGAATGAGGGAGACAATGACTGTCATTGTCAATATCTGCGCGGATGGGACTGCCATACCTCCAGCCGTTTTGTTTTCTGGAAAGGGCTTTGCGGTTCGGTGGAAGCAAGATAACCCTGCAGAAGCAATGTGAGTAATGATAACCTTTTGGATCATATCATGTACTTACTGCGACAAGGCTGGGATACTCGAAGAAGGGCTGGACGGATAACGAGATCGGCATCGAGTACGCAAAGCACTTCGAGCGAATGACTCGTGAGAAGGCGGGTGGCAGGTGGCGAGTCCTCTACGTCGACGGACATGGTTCACATGTCACTCACGGGTTCTTGATGTTCTGCAAGGCACATAAGATCCATGTCTTGTGCTATCCTGCCCATACAACTCACATTTACCAAGGTCTGGATGTCGTGATATTCAGCCCGATGAAGCAAAGGTTCGGTGAGAACCATGACAAACTCTTTCGAGAGACGGGCCAGGAGATCTCAAAAGAGAACTTCCTGAAGGTTTATGGTGACACCCATCTTGCGATACTACAACCGGAGTTAATCAAGAAGGCATTCTTGAAGACAGGAATCATACCTTTTAACCACGACGTGATCTCCGCCGATAAGCTCGCTCCCAGCTGCGACACCTCATTTCGGCATTACACCCCAGTCGAGCCACCAGCTGCTGTCCACATCATGACGGAGCTGATCATTGACACCCTCCAGCCTATCTTCATCACATCATCTCCAAACAATGATTCGGATACAGATTCTGAAGGTGAGGATGAGGGAGCCAGTGAGGATGCGGTTGACGAGAGAGGTGATGAGGAATATGAAGCGGGTGAAGAGGAGGAAGAAGCAGTGGCGGATGGAGAGCAGGACAAGGAGGTGGAGGATGGTGCTGATGAGGAGGTAGATGATGTTGAGGAGGGGGGTGGTGAGGCTGGTCATGAAGCGGGTGAGGAGGGAGAAGGGGAGGAACAAGAACCTGTAAATGATGAACCTGCCCACCCACGGCTTGACACCTTTCCCATCTGAGCTGCCCTCGAAGAACTTGCCAACTCTGATTGTGGCTTTCTCTTCTCACAAACGCCTATCCCATCGTCTTCTAATCCACCTGATCTGCCGAATGTTCTCATCTCGCCTATGAAACGTCGCATTACCAAACCGTCAATGTCAAGGCAAGATGTCACATACCTCACAACAAAGACGACATCCACACCCGACGAGGATGCCATGCAGGAGGCTCTCATTGCGAAAGCAGCGGCAGCAGATTACTACAAGGAGCAGGCGATCCGTATGCAATCCATGCTCGTGTTGCAGCGATTATACTGCAACAAACTGCATCGTCAGCTTCAAGCGAAGGAAGGAAAGGCAGAGAGGAAGAAGAAGGGGCGAGGAGGTATTCTACAAGACGGCTTACCTCGTTTGATGACACATTCTGCCGTGATTCGAGCCGTCAAGGAGCACGAGGATGCGAAGGCAAAGGAGGCGCGCGACAAGGAGGAGAGGGCTGCCCAGCAGCTTGAATACGAGGAGCGGATGGCAGCGTGGCAGGCACATGAGGATGGTCGGGAGGCTAGTAACGTGGCACTGTATCGCCAGTTTCAGGAGGATGCAAACAAGTGGACAGCAGCGCGAGTAGCAGTGAAGGAGGCGGGCCGCAAGCTGAAGAATTGGGACAAAGCCCATCCAAAGCCTTTGCGTTCGAATTACAAGGAGGCCCGGGTAAAACCCCCAACCAAGAAGGCGCGGAAAGATCCTGAGGAGGATCCTGAGGAGGATGTGGGTGGCGACGGTACGATAGACAAAGAATAGAACAAGTGTTTATCAATTGATCGCATCGGACCGAAGATAACTGAGCTGCGTGACACAGCCACCGGCAACGGCGTGACACTGTACAACTGCCCGGTTTTGCCCAAAAAGGGTACCCCGGCACGGATTTACTGACAGCGTGTCCATTTCTCACCCGACGGCATTCAAATCGCACACCGACCTAGTTTCGACATATAGGCAGCTCATATATACAGAAATGAACAAGAGTTTCATCTATGACGAACAGTAGAGGGCATTTTCATTTTTGCTGTACAAGAAGGCAGTGAATTACTGTACGGCGGTTGCTCCATCTGCGGTGAGCGCTTCCCGGATCTGCGTGGCCTTATGATATGGTGCGCGTTTATGATATCTTACTAGATATTCTGCGGCGCAGATGCTGAAAGCAACGATGGCGACTTGGTAAGACAAGGGGTGTCAGACAACAGTCATTGGGAAGAACTTACTGAGCTGGAGGATGATACCGCCTAGCATAATGTTAGAGCCCTGGGATATGAATGAGGAACGTCGAAGTGTTGCTCAGAGAAAGAGACACGAACGAGTTGAGCGCCTTCGCTGTCATTTGCCCCAGATGCCTATGAAGGCCGGATTGGGGAAAAATTCTCCCGTAATTTTATACACATGGAATACGACTTAATACACAAAATTTCAGATTGAACACACACAGAGTATGGGGTGAATACACATGCAATGCAGTTTAACACACACACAACGGAGTTTGACACACACGGAGACTAAAGTCATACACAGATGGTCCGTTTCAACACACACAAATTGTTATTTTACACACATGCACGGAATTTTACACACAGAGAGCGCTCGCCGACACGCACAGAGGCGCTCATGGTTTGACACACAGGAATCTCGGCAGTTTCGGCGATCAGCGGAGCTTAAATAGCTCGGCGTTCTCGGCTGGCCTTCTTTGGGCGCCTAAGGCGAGTCCCCCTTGGCCCGCGTCCCCAATACTCCTTGCCCAATTTTATTACCTAAATAAGCTATATTACTCTTCAATTTAAGTTTACAAGCCCCTTCTACCCTTCAATCTCAACATCAGCACTTCTACTCCCTTTACTCGTGTGAAATGTGCCTACAAAGGACTCCGGGGTGAGGCGCACGAGGGCAAGCTAATAGTCAAAGAAACCTTGTGAATTAATTTATTTGGCAATAACTTGAGCAAGATATTAACCACTTGAAATGAAGTTCTAGGGAGTTTCAGAATGCCCCGTCTAGGGTATTGGGAACACAGGCCAAGGGGGACTCGCCTTAGGTGCCCAAAGAAGGCCAGCTGAGAATGCCAAGCTATTTAAGCTCCGCTGATTGCCGAAACTGCTGAGATTCCTGTGTGTCAAACCATGAGTGCCTCTGTGCATGTCGGCAAGTGCTCTCTGTGTGTAAAATTCCGTGCATGTGTTTAAAATAACAATTTGTATGTGTTGAAACGGACCATCTGTGTATGACTTTAGTCTCCATGTGTGTCAAACTCCATTGTGTGTGTGTTAAACTGCATTGCATGTGTATTCACCCCATACTCTGTGTGTGTTCAATCTGAAATTTTGTGTATTAAGTCGTATTCCATGTGTATAAAATTACGGGAGAATTTTTCCCCAATCCGGCCTTCATACAGTCCACCTCCACTGCCTTGGATGAGTAGAGACAAAACATCGCAGCCACAGAAGATAATAGTATCTAGAAACATCGGGGTCAGCTGGGAGCAAGTTCCTGGAAACAGAAAGGACACACATGCCCGTGGGCGTAGCCTCGAGTAGGCTGGTCCTAGCTGTCTCATTATTCATCCAAAAATGACGAAATTGGCTGCCAGCATATGAGGGCCGGATTGGGGAAAAATTCCCCAGTGATTTTGAATACATGAATTTGTATCTTGTACACTTTGAAGTCAAATTTAAGATATAGGCAGAGGCAATTTGATATACATACACAGGAATTTTTAAACACACACATGGCGATTTTATACACACACACACACACACACACAACAATTTTACATACACACACAACAATTTTATACACACACACACACAACAATTTTATATACACACACCAATTTTATATACACACACCAATTTTATATACATACACGCTGATTTAATACACATACAGGCAGATTTTACATACACACACAGCAATTTTATACATACACACGTTGATTTTATACACACACACGAGACATCCTACGACACACTCAGCTATTGGCATTTCCCTTGCTGGGCGGAGCTTCAAGCCTCTCGGCAGACTCGGCAAGAATTTGGTGCCCCGGGACACCAAATTTTCTCCCACGGGTCTGCTGGGGTGGAGTTGATGCCCTTAAAGGCGCCTGTGATGCGCTTTCACACACATCTGATGTGTGTCAATAGGCACCATTTCCTGGACAAAAGACCTTGGCTCTGCTAGTAGTAATGCTGGCATATTTTGTGCAATTCTGGACTATCAAGATGCTTAGGGGATGGAGGAGTGAGACCACATTTTTATAATTTTGTGGTGAGGTGCATCGATTTGGCCATGGAGCTGCCAGATGTGGGTAATTTTGAACATAAAGAGTATATACTGAAAGCTCCCAATATTCTACCATTTATTACAGTTTTTATTTCATGAAATTCAGCCCAGAATTGCCCAAAATATGCCAGCATTACTACTAGCAGAGCCAAATTGACATGCATCAGATGCGTGTGAAAGCGCATCACAGGCGCCTTTAAGGGCATCAACTCCACCCCAGCAGACCCGTGGGAGAAAATTTGGTGTCCCGGGGCACCAAATTCTTGCCGAGTCTGCCAAGAGGCTTGAAGCTCCGCCCAGCAAGGGAAATGCTGATAGCCGAGTGTGTCGTAGGATGTCTCGTGTGTCGTAGGATGTCTCGTGTGTCGTAGGATGTCTCGTGTGTGTATAAAATCAATGTGTGTATGTATAAAATCCGCATGTGTGTACATAAAATTGCTGTGTGTGTATGTAAAATCTGCCTGTATGTGTATTAAATCAGCGTGTATGTATATAAAATTGGTGTGTGTATATAAAATCATCGTGTGTGTGTATAAAATTGTTGTGCGTGTGTGTAAAATTGTTGTGTGTGTGTATAAAATCGCCGTGTGTGTGTTTAAAAATTCCCGTGTGTGTATATCAAATTGCCTCTGCCTATATCTTAAATTTGACTTCAAAGTATAAGATACAAATTCATGTATTCAAAATCACCGGGGAATTTTTCCCCAATCCAGCCCTCATAGCCAGCAGTGGTGTTGGGGCGAGCACGGTCATTGATATCCTGTGCTCATGTCAGTAACAGTGGGGCTTCCTGCTACACGCAATTTACTGTATTCTAAAAGGCATGCTCGCAAACGGCCTCCAACTCGACCACAGGCATGCAGCCCAGCCGATAATCTCCAGATTTCTGCATAGGAGGACGGTTGGTAGGAGGAACCACATTCGGTATTTGGCCATTTGGAATATGTGAGTGACTGAATACAGAAGTGGTCATGTTAGCAGCTGTATATCAAAAAAGAACGGCAGGCTCCTCTCAAACTCATGGGAAGACATGTAAAAGAGAATGAGCATGATGATTGCCACGGCGCAGGATGGGACATAGCCGTAAGGCAAGTCTCCTGCAATGGATCCTGTTGTGGCCAGTAGGGGTTAGACCAGTTTTTTGTTTCATGAGAAGAAGAGCACATTACCTGTTCCAGTAGCTGTAGACATGTGGAGTGCTACTTTGAGGCGACTTTGCGATGGGACCCACATCTGTCTCTCGAGTCTTTATAGTGCAGTCGAGCCTAAACCATGCGGGTTGCAACTACCGCAGCAGCTGTGTGTCCCTTTGCCCCTCTTTGATTCATTTGATTGCTGCCGTAAGTTTTCCAGGAGAAAATCAAGGTACCCAGCCACAGTCTGGTTCACAGTCCGAAGAAACAATGACAAAGCTAGGGCTGCGTATTACGCAGCCGAATGCATGATGAAGAATAGAACCACGCGCAGCTCCGTCGCCTGACGTTGTGTTCGAAAGGCATGTTTACGCAGTTCGATTCTTCGACGCAGAGGCATCTTTTGGAAATTGTTTGGAAAAAGGTGAAGCGCGGGGAATCCGATCATTCCGGCATTCATTGATCCGTGCGACAATCACACAGATTCCCAGCACGTGATCCTTCCCGTCGCGTCCGCCGAGGGATCTCAGACTCCGAGGACCGAGGTAACCAACGTAGAGACTAAGTAAAGAAATAGGGAGAATAGCAGGCTTCTCGATGCATCATCAAAATTTCAATCGTCCAAGGGAAGATTTTATTGTACAGATTTCTCTATAATGATTATACACAAACAATTTTTCTTCGTTTTCATCTTATTCGCGAAAGGGAAGGGACCACATACGTGCGTACGGTATATTTCACTTCAGAGAGTAGAGAAAAGTCCGACCCGCTTAGACGCCAGCAGCCTTGTCCTTGGCGGCGACGTAGTTGACGAGATCGCAGACACGACGTGAGTAACCCCACTCGTTGTCGTACCAGGAGATGAGCTTGACGAAGTTGGGGCTGAGCTGGATTCCGGCTTTAGCATCGAAGATGGAGGATGCGGTGTGGCCAATGAAGTCGGTTGAAACAACCAGCTCATCAGTGTACTCCACAATGCCCTTGTATTCTCCCTCGGATGCGGCCTTAACCACCTTGGTGATCTCCTCGTATGTTGCGCCCTTCTCGAGGCGGACGACCAGGTCAACGACGGAGACGTCCAGGGTGGGGACACGGAACGCAAGGCCACTATTTTAATCGTTAAAATTAGGCAGCTCGGTTAGATATGATTAAGGGACATACGTCAGCTTTCCATTAAGCGAGGGAATGACCTTGCCGACAGCCTTGGCAGCACCAGTGGAGGAGGGGATGATGTTGTTGTTGACGGAGCGGCCACCACGCCAGTCTTTGTGGGAGGGACCATCGACGGTCTTCTGGGTGGCGGTGGTGGCGTGGACCGTGGTCATCAGACCCTCGACGATACCGAAGTTGTCGTTAATGATCTTAGCGAGTGGCGCAAGGCAGTTGGTTGTGCAAGACGCGTTCGAGATCTAATCATCGACGATAACCAACTCGATGAGCAATGCGATAAGACTAAGAATGCGGCGGCGATACGCACAACTTTGTATTTGGGATCGTAGCTCTCCAAGTTCACACCACAGACGAACATGGGGGCGTCGGCAGAGGGGGCGGAGATAACGACCTTCTTAGCACCACCCTTGAGGTGAGCAGAGGCCCTGGGTGGGAAAAGCACCGGTAAGCTGAGGTTCTGAGACATGGGTACGGAGGATTTACTTCTCGGTAGTGGTGAAGACACCCTGCAAAGCGATTAGCACCGAAGGTACAGGGTAAATGTACAAAGATAAACTCACAGTCGCCTCAATGATATACTCGGCACCAGCAGCTCCCCATTGGATAGCAGCTGGGTCGCGCTCGGCGTAGACCGTCACAGGCTTGCCGTTGATGACGAGCTTTCCATCCTTGGACTCGACAGTTCCCTTGAAGCGTCCGTGGACGGAGTCGTACTTGAACATGTAGACCTTACCAACGCGTTAGAAAGATCCAAAAATGCCCGAAAAAAGATATACCATATATTCAAGATCGATGAAGGGACTGACGCGGCTATGAGATCATAGGAGGGGATCGCGCAACAAAGGACTCACTCGTTGATGGCAACGATCTCGATGCCCTGCGTCTCAAGAGCATTACGGAAGACGATGCGGCCGATACGACCTGTGTTGTATGAGCACACCGTCGTCGTCAACAATAGATCTAGCACTCACCGAAACTGCGAATTGTCCGCACCCAGTCAGGACCCACCGCGCTCGACCAGAATGTCGACTCACCCGTTGATGCCGACGTTAACCTGCAGAGTAAGCACTCGTCAGTACTGTTCGCCCTACCAAAACGTCAACAAGAACGACGTACCATGTTGTGTTAGATGGAATGAAGGGATGTGAGGAAATAATCGGGATTGGGGCGCCCCCTTTATACCGCGGGCGAGATTATCTATCTCTACATCAGCCAATCACATCACGCGATGACATAATTGGCCCTCCCGGGCCTCCCCAGACTTTGGGGTTTACCGGGCTTGGTCGGTGTTCCGTTCTAGACCCGACGTATCTTCTGGCGGCTCTGTGTGCTGTGAGCCTGGTCTGAGTAGTCTAGGTGCGCTTGGTTTAGCCCGAGGGGGCTCGAAGAAGAGTGAAGAGCTAAGAAAATAGAACAATGAGTCAGGTAAGGAGATAACACTTCACATGAAACGCAGGTCCTCCAGAAGTCTAAGAAGCGATACCCTCGCAGTCTTCAGGTGACGGGCGAGAACGACGATAAAATTATCTCCTCTCCATCGAGTCGTGCAAGTGCTGGAGGCCGCTCTAGATGGTCTGATGTAAACCAAGTTGAAGTGCTTTTTTTTCTTTGTCTACCCAGGACTAATGCGATTGGCCGGCGACCCAGGGTTATCGGATAGCGGAGTCATTTGCCGCCCTCCGAACTCATTTCCGGATCCGTTCGAATGTGCACCATTCCAGACGGGTCTTCACAGACCACCCCGCGAGTACCGTATAGATTCTACCGATGTTACATGTGAGAGACTCCGGTATTGTCGCTGTGCTTGGTGAACGTTTGAACGTTCGCCATAGCACGTTCCTGGATGATAAATCGTTGAGTCATGACGCGGGCCGAAAATGATGTGCGCCACATCTTATGAAATCGCGGCAGTTCTCCGGGCGCTTATATCTGACGTCACTACGATCTTCCTAATCTTATCGGGATCTCATTCTCAACAACCGATATCTGCAGAGGAATTAGAACCTTTCCGCTTTCTATCATCTCAACTCCCAAGTACTTTGTTCTGGGCGCTTGCCAGATATCTCCTCCGCCACGCCGACTTTTAATAAGACCAGTGTTCCAGGGAGGCGCTGGACGCCTATCATTATGGCACAGGAATGAAGCGGTGTATGTTTCTTTGGATCACATACACATCTCTTCCATGTGTCTTCCTGTTCGACCTGCTCCGACCAACACAAAGCGACAGGGAACGGGTACTCCAGTTGAAAAACCCCAGAGCGTTCAATTAGTAGTAATCATTTGACAACAGGTTGTAGCATTGAATATTCATTGGGGTGTGGTAACGAGCTCTCAGAATCTGCGTCCGAAATACCGTTCCGGGAGATAACAAGCGAACGTTCTGCTAGTCGGTGTAAATTTTGGGCCAGCCATTTTCGGTATCGCGATTGCCGTATTAGGCGGCCCTCGCGAGGCGGAATGGGGATCTTGATTCACCAATTGAACTGTGTGATATGAATCTCTGAGCAATCCTTGCCGCAACTCCTTTAGAGGTCGAGATGAGCTGCTGAAGCGCCGACGAAACTTGCCAAGAATCAGGGTCCACTTTCTTGCGCACCCTTGCCCAACCGGATCTTGAGGTTTGACATAGGCGGTCCGCATGTCCCTTCCTCAGGGACAAACGGAAGGAAAATGGGTTTCAGGAGGGTTCTCACAGCTCGCACTGTCTCGTGAATAAGAACACGGTAAATAAAGCGTGTCACAGCGTTGAGAATAAGGCGTCGTGTCTGGAGGTACATGGGGTGAATACAAAACGAAATTAGAAGTCATGCTGGAGGAAGCTCGCGGAACCCTAAGTATTTGTAGATGGCAGTGTAGGTCAGAAAAAAGGCGTCGCGAAGTTCGTACGCGTGGTAGTTTCGTAATCTTCATGGCCGTTTGGCACAGAACAGCTCCTCTGAATCGTCCTCGTCTTCCTCCATCGCCCGCGTCTCGCCACCCTTTTCGTGAAGCCGCATCTTCTCGTCCTGGCTTGACACAGGCAACAACGTCTCCCTCACCAACTTATCCCTCAACCTGAGCTGTCTGACTGTCGCGAAATTGACACAGCCCGCAAGGAAGAAGGTCGTCGCCACGAAGAGACTCGTCCAATCGTTCATCGCCACGAGCCACTTGGCTTCCAGGAGCTTCAGGAACTCTTCGCCGCCTTTCATACTGGCAATGGTGTCATGAAGCCACGGAATGGTAGGAATTTCAAGGAAGTGGATGCGCCGGCAGCGGAGATACGCGCCGCCCATGTTCAGCACGCCTGTGAAGACGCTGACGTACGCGAAAGAGGAGGGGAAGGTGAGTCCATCGTAGGTTGCACGTGTTGACGGGGAGGCTTGGGCAGAGATTTTCCGCTTTCTCTCGAGCTTGGTCGTGTAGTACACGAGAACGGACACGCTGTGGGAGAAAGGTGTCAGATCGTGCCGTATGCATGAGAAAGGAGGTGAGAGTGGGTCAGACGAGTTTCAGGTCTGCGAATTGGAAGAGGTCCGGCGTGGCGCTAACTCCGACGTGGCCGCGAGTACAGCGCCCGTCTCGAGGTCGGAAGAGGATGTGTGGGCTATGTCGCGAAGAGATGGGACTTACGCAAGGTTGATGAGACCTAAGAAACCTGCAAGGCGGGTAGGATCCTCAGCGTCGCTCTGACGAGAATCAGTATAAATGCATGCACATACCCCAGCTACGAGCAGGTTAGTCAGTCTGATGCTCAATGTCCGAGACGATGAGAACTCACTAGATGAACTCTAGATACACGTTTGCCATGGCGAGCTTCTGAAAACGCTTTCCTCGTCGAGAGATGGCGGTCGATATAAGAAATCCTCCAAGGCGATGCGGTGCTATGCCTCTTGAACGAGTCGAGTCAGAAACGGCCGACTACCACAGGTTTTCGCGCCGCCAACAAAGCGTTCGGGGAGCCTACCGCCACGAAGGAAAGCTGGGGTACGAGGAAAGCGGAGGCAAGTCGCACCTGCCCCGTTTTAACCCCCATTACGATCTATAACGGTCCTGCGTCCGTGCATAAGGAGGTGATCACAAGGCCAAATGCCATCAGGCACACCTGAATCGGTCTGCATACCTGCGACCAATAGGGTTCATCCGAACCTGCATCTACGACAACTGGTGGGTTCGTGGGCGTATTTGGGTAGCTTCGTGGTGATAAATAACAGGGCGTAGCTATGCAAAACGATGTGCAGAACACAGAAGAGCCTGAGTGAGATGAACGTAAGGAGAAGGTCGGGAAAAAGGTCAACACAAGTCAAACGACATCGGTAACTTCCGATCAATTGACTACTGATCCTGAGCACTGCAAGCCGTCGAACTTCGATTACACCAAGACTTGTCGAGTTATGAATACACTATGTACATCGCGTAGACGCATGCATCGATAGTAGCACAGGTTCACTGTATAAGCGCCGCGTGACTACTCGTAGATCTATCCTCCGGTGCAGGGCTCTCCCTGTCAAAGTCAAATGATGCGAACTGTTGACTGGGACTACAGGCGTTATATAGCTGTGAGGAAGTGTAGATGATTTGATGAGAAACGAATATTCTAAGACATTGACAAACGGCATCGATGATCAAGGAGATAGCAAGGATGGCATGATGCACTGTTACGTTCATCAAAGTCTAGGCAATTCCAGGGCTTCGAGAAGGATCCTAATTGCAGTTATGACTTGAGTAAAGGTGTGAACTCTGTTGTACTATGGCGCAGTCACGAACCTAATACGGGGATGACATCTCGAAACTGTGAATATCGATCTCCAAGCCAAGATTAGAGGAGTGGATCCTATTTTGATTTCATCGCTTTACAGACAGAGGTATACCACGCTTACAACATGGCCTCAAAAATCCCATTTCAGACACTTGAGCTATTCTGCGAACGACATCGATGCCAGTCCGAGTCGTCTCCCTCTGTATTGTCTCCTTCTCACGGTCTCGCCTAAACGGTCTATCCGGGACAAGGCATTCTGGCTTGCGATATGGTGAATCACGTCGAATTAAAGACTATGGAAGGCGAATTTTCAATAGGATGCCAGGAGCGGGTCTCGAGTTGATCTCTAAGATCTAAGCGCTCGAGGTGGAACATGATAAGATAAGATGAGGCGCTCTTCAGGGCTCGTGGGAAAGCAGAATTGATTCGCCCTGAGTGCAGGTTTCACTTACCTTCATCGCATCTTCGGGCTGGGTATTATGGAAACCTACCACTGGAGTTGGTGGATATAGTCGACGACCACCTCTCCGGTGAATCTGCCAGTGGCAATGACCAACATCGTTGTAAGTCGCTGGCTGTGGGAGCTCTGGTGTGCCAGCGCTTTCAGCGACCAGCACACAGGCTTCTCTTCTCTTCCATCTTTATTCCCAACACCGGCGCGCAACAGCAGATCCGACGTCTCCGCACCCTCGCCGATGATTCTCCTGGCGACTCACTGGCGTGTATCGCACAACATGTACATACGCACATTCACGATTGGTCTGGATGGTCCAAAACGCTGCAGAGTGGAGACGCTGAATAACCCAGCACTGGTATCGGTCTTGGACAAGATATTCCGTACAGGTTCTTCGCATGAGATGAGGCGGTTACGAATCGACCTCACGGTAATGCATCGGATCCCGAAGGTGGACTGAGATGATTTCAATCGGGGACTTTGTCCATCGATAGAGAATCTCTGCAAGACTTCTCTGCTGGACACCCTCCAAGATTTTATCCCTTCTTGGGCCTAGAACTTCCACCGGAACATTTTTTCAACTGCACACCTTCAAAACGAATCTCACCAGCCAGTTCGAGTACCAAAAAACTTTGTCTATCGTGTACGCAGCCCTCGAGTTGGAAACCCTCGAATTCCGACTGGCTGGTGCGTCCATTCTTTTGACTCTTTCTCTCCCACACACTAAATCATCAGACTATCATTTAGTCAAGTACAAGGCAGGACTCTCGTCGAGCGTGGATCAATTTAGCTTCACCAATCTCTCCAAACTAAAGCACTTGCCCATCACACATGCGAAGTTCGCGACACACAAAACCCCTCCAACGAATGAGCAGCTGGTTTCCGAGATCGTCCACCTCCTGAGCGCCTTCAACCTGCAGAAAACCCTCCGCATGGGCTTCTTCGTTCTACAGACAGACAACCCCGAATATGCGTTTGGCGCTTTTCAATTTGCTGCCCTTGCCAGCGCCCAGTTTGCTAGTGTGCGGGTGTTTAGGATAAAGATGGTGATTCAGGTGGATTCGGTGATTTGGGAAAGTTGTTATTCTCATGACGAGTTCGTGAAACAGTGTGCCGTTTATTTAAGGGAGAAAATGTTCCCATTGTTGGCGGGGCGCGCTGATGATCGATGTCTTGCCTCCGTCCAACCACAGCGCCGCGATTATTTGGAGGTAGTCTCTAATTTTATGCAACACTGCTGCAATCCTCGCTTGAAAAGGGCACCTACTTGCCGGATGATTTGACGAACTGATGGCAAATCGTCGTTCGGCATTTCCCACATGCACTTGAACCGCAACTCCAACGTCGACAAGGTCCCCAGTCAACATCTCTAGCATGTCGTCGCTTCGTATATCGGAACAAGGCTCTCCTCGACCACCTCTCGAACCTTTAACCGTGACACTGACCCCGTCCATGATACAGTACGCAGAAGTGTATGCCACATGTTTCTTGCCAGCAACCACGTATTATTGGATGTTTTCTCGTGCTGGGACTAGCCAGGCCGCCCTCGAGCGGAAGCGCGAAATATCGATGTACTGTGCAAGCGCCCGGCTAATGCGTCGCAGTTTCGAGCAAGTGAAAGCAGGCGTTGAGGAGGGAAATGTCGATGATATACTCGAATATTGTCTACGGTGCGTTATGTCGCATAACTTCATGTTATTACACTCTTCTGACAGTGTTGCAAATATTGTGCTATAGACTGGTGTCGGGTATCGATGGAGTACCTGTCAACTTGAGTGAGGCTATGGGTATCCTCCCTGAAGTAATCCATGGTCCTTTCCCAGCTCCCAAACGCGCCGTCGCCGCAAGTCTTATTGGCTCCATTTCTGCGTTCCACATGCACAAAGAGAGCGCGAAAGAATCTTCCTTCTCGCCCTACCTAGCATCCGGAATTATGTCCTGCTTTGCGAGCTGCGAACTAGGCTTATACTCCAACAGCTGCCGCATCTTCTTCCACTGCTGTCCGTCGGTCTCCGAATTGGCGGAGATATTGCCCGAGGAAGAGATGGATCTTCTCGATAGAGTGACTTATCTTGACGAAAGATACCTTGACTTCATGGAGGAGACCAGTCAGCAGCCGGCGAAAGCAGGAATATGTGCTGGCTGTGGACGGATGACGCGACGCTCTGACACACTGAAAAGATGTGGGGGTCGGTGTCATCCTTCTCAAAAACCTGCATACTGCGATCGAGAGTGTCAAAAGGCGGTGAGTCTCTTAATATAGTCACGATATAACTATTTTGAGACAATGCACCTCGCAGGATTGGTCAAATCATCGAAAATGGTGCCTCAACCCGAACTTCAATCCCGTTGACATAACACTGAGAGAACTTTACACGCTGCACCTCGCAGGTGAAAACTCCTAGGATAGAACACTTCTGTATGCAAGGTCTTCGATGATAGATTATCCAATTTCGCTTTCCTAGTCTCTTCGACTACCCCTCGACGTGCAGCCACCAAGAGTCCACTATGTAATTTTCTTGTCGTCCATTTTAGCAGTTAGCAACGTTCAGGAGCAGTGGTGTAAGGACACAATCCACAATTCTTCCCAAAGAATACTCAAGGCACAAGGACGGTCGATGGCGAACCCAAATTAGCAATATCTTGTTTTCGGAACACATTGGACCAACAGAGAAACGACGCCGTAGAGAGCGTGCATTAATCCTACAATGATGGACCTCAGCGTGTGCCAGCACTTCTGCCTTACTTCCACCTTCCCGCTTCTTTTCCTTTAATCGCAGCTTTAATACGACACCCGCGCTCGTCCTGGAGAATAGAAATAAATCTTAAATCTTAAGAATGTATTGGATAGCCTTCAGAATCCGTCCTCTAGTCACGGTTTAAGTTGACTCAGGGGCTTGGACGCGAGCGCAGACGCGCCCCGTTACGATCACGTGTAGTCTAATTTAATTGTGACATGCCCCAAACATGCTTGACACACGACTTGCTTTTCTTCGCCACTCACAATAATCTTCGCCTCCCAGGGAACTCTCGGGCAACATGAATCGAAAGCATGGAATGGAGGCTCGCCTTGGCCTGGGTGGTGGCTTGGTGTCAGAGCAGTCAAGAAAGAAGTAAGCAAGAACTTGAACTGCTTCATCACAACCCTTGACCCCATTTCTTTCCAGCTTAGAAAAGGCAGAAGACCTATGTCGCAGAAGAAAGCCAGAGCAAGCGGCTCCGTATCTCCTCAAAGCCATCAAGGACCACAACAATCTCGACGCCATCATCCAGATCGCGTTTCTTTTGCCTCGCCCGGATGCTATCGAGGCTCTTGAACACGCAGAAGAACGAGGTGAGTAAGGAATGCATTCTGGGTTCTGAGAGACTGTTGAAGATAGCTTCTGTAGGGCGTGTCATCGTAAAAAAGGCGCTGGGAGAGAAGGCCTTCGACGATGATGGCGATACGGTCGAGCGCTTCTGGATGATCCTTGAAACGCGACCGTATATGCGTGTCTTGCAAGCTCTGGTTAGGATGTATTTCGAGAGCGGGAAGTTTGCAGAATCCGCGTCAGTTATGTCCGCAGGAGCGTACCTCCAGGCGTCCGCTCCCTGTCTGACCACCGGTTAATTTGCCATGTAGGAAAACCATCGAGGAAATGCTCCGCCTGTGTCCTGGCGACAATCTCGGGCAGCGCTATTGGATGGGTTCGATGCTCTGCCAGGCCAATCGGTTCTCCGATGCCCTCTTCTTCGCTCAAGCCTGGCTCACCGAACACACTCGGAAGACTGGAGACCCACCCGCGCGGGGTGGGACTGCCTTTGCTGCCCCCAGCCCTGCTGTGCCACCCACAATCGACGCGGAGAGGCTGCGGTGGGAGGGCTGCTCCCTTTTGTACACTGCTGCGCTCGCGAGCTTCAAGGTCTATGGCGACTGCGAGCAATCAAAGAAATATTTGATCATGGCGACCCAGTCTAATCCCAATATTCTGATTAAAATCTTGGCCAAGGTTCCCAGACCAGGTATTCCGCTCTCTCTCTCTCTCTCTCTTCTTCCTCTCCGAGGTAGCCTAATATCTTGGTGGTGTAGCCGGATTGAACAACGACCCCCGGACCCCCAATGGGCCAGAAGACGCCCAAGATTATCTCTACTTAACACAAAACTTCTGGATGGAGAAAGGTATCCGGAAGTGGGCCGACAGCTGCCAAGACGCGAAAAGGCTCGTTCTGAAAAGCTGCAGTCGGGAGGCTTGCACAGAGAAGGAGAAAGACGTGGCACAGTTCAAGAGATGTGCTGCGTGCCATCTTGTGCTCTACTGTGGCCAGAACTGCCAGAAGGTCGACTGGCCGCGACACAAACCCGGTAAATTTGCAGGCGAAATTGTGTAAGAATTGCGCTAACACCGGATCGATAGAATGTAACGCGCACAAGCAGCACAAAATCGCATTGCGTGCGTTCGCAAATGGGAAAGCACCGCCTGCTGGCTCCATGCCGATGTTCTCTTCCGATATGGCGGGTGGCACAATGTTCGGGTTCGTGAGACCATATCGAACTAGTATTTCGCACTGACGAGTTTGCGTAGCTTTCCGGCCCCTGGCTCCCGCTGAGAAATTCAGGATAACCCCTGCTCTTTGCCATATAATACCCAGTTACATACACTGCTTCTCGATCGTCTTGCTCTGTCTTTGCTTCTGCTTTTCGCGCTGTGCTATACCACGTTTCTAGGCTTCATCCATGTACTATACTCTGGTTTTAAGCTGCTTCGTCTGGTTGCTCATTATGTAATCAGTCTATTCAATGAATTCCTGCTGTAGATGAAACCAGCACCTTCCCGAGTACCTTCAGAAAGTGGATTGAGAAGTCTAGGTGGCATCAAGCTCCTATTGTCAAATATATATATGACGGCAAGATGTATCATAACCTCGGGCTCTGTTAGAAGTATAGGTACGAATGAAATGGCGATGGAGGATAAGGGTATGAAAAGGTATGAAGGGGATCATGACCAACGAGAAGTGGAACGGGTATCCTACTAGTAAATAGTGTAGGATAAGTCAACGACTACATTGCTTCTGATAGGAGAGAAGCAGAGACGCGAAGTCCAGCAGGTGTTGGATGGATTATTTCAAGTTGTCAGCGTACATAGTAGGTAATTTCTCAAGCAACGACATAGTACCAGTAAGCTCTCTGAGCGTCGCTCAGCTCGTGTAACATGTCTTGGTCTTCTGATTCCTTGCGCTTAGGAGAATAAACGGTGTAAGGAGGTTCGATAGTAAATGCAGATGGGAATATACGCGGGGCGAGTGCAGTGCTTATCTGTGCTGTGAACCAGACCATAATAATTTCCGAAGTTCGAAAAGCAACATCGAAGCCATATATAGGATGACACTGGACGAAAAAAACCTGGGCGCTGCGATCGGTGCACGTTGAGCAGTTTGAGTGACTCGGAGATTTTCCTAAGATGGGAATTTGATCACTCAATTTGGCAGGGCTTCGGTCGTCTTCGATATGGCTCCGGGGCATAAGAGTAGGTTTTTGGCTAGATCAAGCGCTTGAACTTCATCGTCTTATTTCATCGCACTGTCGCCGCCATTCGGAGCCTTCTTTTCTACTCTCCCCATCCTGGTCGGGTCGGCGCTTAGGCGCTCAAACGTTCACACCAATAACTCGAGCTCGGCCTTAAAGGAGCCACAGGGAAGAGTTATACAACATGCATACTCGAGTCCACATATCGTGCATTGGGCGCTAGGCCTTCCACCACCAAATTCCAATAAAAACATCAAGCGAACGAAAGAAAATCCAGCCCATTGTCGCCATCGAACGCCATCAACTCGAACCACCCGAAACAGCCTGATAAGCAGGCGGCTGCGTCCCCGACGTCCTCCTCTGGACCGGCGCATAGCCATCGCGCAAGAGCTTGCTTGGGGGCGGTGCGCCCGCGCCCGGAGTCGTAATTCCGGAGTAGGCGTTGGATATCGTCCATGACGGCTGGCTTACACTACCTGTTCCGCTCGTATTACCACTGTCGCTGGCACTCGCCCCGCCACCGCCTCCGGTAGCGCTTGACCCTGGGGAGAACGGCGCCACAGAGCTGTCTAGGGAGGGGTTGGCGATATGGAGCGGGCCACGAGGAGCTGCAGGGTTTTGCGCCATTATCGTTGTCGGTTGTTGTGAATTGGGGTAGTCACGGTATGGCTCTGCAGGTGCGCCGGGGGGTTAAAATGAGCGAGCGGTGGGAAATTAATGAGTGTAAACGTACGGGGAGTTGCATGATACCCATTCTCTACCATTCCCGGGCCAGGATCGTTTAGGTTGTCCCTCGAGCCAGCAGGCCGCTGCTGTTCCTGCCGTGCTTGTCTTCTCCGGTTCCGGCGCCGCCAGAAGAGGAACGCGCCAATGAGTGCGACCAAGAGCACCGCGCCGCCCACCACCCCGCCGACGATCGCTGCAGTGTTGTTGGCTTTTTCTGCGTACACAAAAAAAGTCTCCATGAGTCCGGGATCGAGGTGGAGTATAAGTAGGCTCCTTGAAGAAAAGGAGGGAAAGAATGCGAAGGAGAAGGAAAACGTACCGCCCTGATCCTGATCCTGAGTCTGAGTCTGCAACCCCGACCCCGACCCATCTCCATCTCCAGCTCCAATTCCCGTGCTCGTTGCCGTTCCCGCAGTGCTCGCTGCAACTCTCGTGCTCGTCCCCACCCCCGAACTAACCGACGTCGGCTCAAACAGCGTCGGCACATACATGAAATAATCCAGCCAATACCGATCCCCATCCACCTCATTCGTAACCACCAGCGTATGTGTCCCCCTCTCCAGTCCCCCCGCCTGGAAAAACAGCGTCCGATGTGCATCCTGCAACAGAGCCGCGCCCGTCGCGCGCGGGGGCGTGTAGAACACGGGGGACCCCCCGTCGAGGGTGTACGACGAGGACGGCAGGATCGTGTCGTTTACTGAGATGGTGCCGTATACGGAGACGGCGGTGCCGCTGAATGTGAGTGTCGCGGTGGCGCCTTTGCGTTGGGAGAGGGTGGTGGTGCCGTTGAACTCGAAGGGGCCGCCGAAGATGCCGCCCTCCCAGTCGGTGGAGCCGGAGGGGGCGATGGAGTAGGCGATAGTGGGGTCGCGGTCGTCGATTGTGCGTTCCATGATCAGAGGGAGAACTTGGAAGGGGTGGTCGATGAGGGGTGGTCGATGAGGGCACCCGTGGATGTGTGATAGACTTGGAGGGTGAAGGGTCGAGATTCGACTGGGCACAGGAAGGACGTGGTTAGGAGAGGAGCCACAGGCTCTTTCTCAACGTTCACCGCTGACCTTCAACGAGCGTCGAGAGTGATGATTCAAACGAGCGGATGGTTCGTATGCAAATAGTCGGTAAGTAGATGGTGCTTGGTGCGGATCCTCGTCAAGAGGTAGTCTAAGTTGGTGACTGTTCGCTGGCAAAGCGTATCCAGCTCCGAGTCGTGCAGGACAGCTGTGGGACTCCCCAGTTCTCCAGACTCCCAGACAACTAGCCCAAGTAAGGTACTCTACATACATAGCGCCAAAAAACCGAAATCATATCTGATCCCCTTGGAACCCGAGCCCAAGATGAACGTGTATTACGGCAGATCACGGCTTGATCACGGCATCACAAGAGCACGCACGTCGCAGATCGTCTGAATATAGCTCGCCACTTTCAGTGTTCACTATTCATAACATTCGGTACCACGGTTACTGTCATTTGTAAGTATATTTCAACCACTGGTCAAAACTGAGCGCTGAGTGCTGATAAATGGGCAGACGGCGGACACGATAAGGCGTGTCGTCCATCTGACAGTGATAACGTAGGGAGACCCAGCGTTTTCGAGGCGGAGAAACGCTCATGAGGAAAGTACTAAGTAGCGCCCAGTGTTGATGGCAACATTGATGGCTTGATGGCCGGACATGGCCGACTTCCCATACGGTCGAACCCCTCTTATAATTAACCCATACCCCAATCTCCAAAACGATAAGTCAATCTGCGCTCGGCACTGGTGTCAATGGGCTACCATGCTATGCATAGACGACAAACCCACAGACAGCAAACCAGAGGGCCTGGCCAATTGAGCAGCGAGCTCGAGCTCGGGTCTTTCCACTTCCTCTGCCCTGAGTGGTTTAAATAATTTCCAGTGCCAGTGCCAGTGCGAACGCGAACGCGAACGGGATCCATCATCCCAGGCTGGGTGCCTATGTATGAATAGTAATAGCGTGCCGTGAAAGTATATAGTTATAGGAAGCAGGCAGGTAGGTAGTAAGTTGAATTGTGGCCATGGTACTTACAGCGCACAAGTCGAAGACGTGCACAAGGCGTTCTCTGGGCAAGCAAATTTAAAAGATTTGAGAGGTGATATTTGTACCCAGGGAATTAGTCCCAGATACGTCGAGTGGAGTGTATACACACAATATGACGACACTGTGAGTAGTGGGGTGGGTAATGTGGACCTCCGGAGAGACAGGGCCAAATTACCGCTCACTTGAGCAGTGTAATGAACCCCCTCAGAGGTGGGCAGTTTGCAATAGGGGGAGTCAGAGTGCCCGATTCTGGGACGGTTCTGGAAAACGATTTCGACCAGAATCGTTTGCCCCAGAAACGTGTGAAAACCGTGAATCGTCCCGAATCGCAAAGCGCCTCTGGAGCCGCTTTTGCAGTCGAGAATCAGCGATTCTGGTTCTGTGTACTCGCCTCCCCCTTCTTGAATATGCAGATTAATTCATTAAAATATATTTGCCCCTTCTTCCCGTCGGTCTGGAGGTTTGGTAAATCATTTTTTGTGATGGTGAATATGATCTGAACGCTCTTTCATCATCTCGCTCCCTTTTTCGGTGCAATTGATACAAAACTTGACAACGCGGCGGGGGGAAAATGCCAAAAAAATATAGGAGCCCCAGGCAGTTGAATTATCCGTGAATCGCAGCTTCTATACTCAGGATTCTACAAAGGGCTGCTTATACCAAGGGAAGACAGCATCGAAACGGACAAGACGATGGAAATCGCACGAAAACACGAGTTTCCGGAATCGGGGTGGTCAGAGTCTTCCGCCGGTTCTGGTCCGATTCTTGGCGAAAACCGAATTTTAAATCGTGTCAAAACCGTCATCAGAATCGCCCCAGAATCGTCGAAAATCGCCCACTCTGACTCCCCCTAATAGATGGGCAACGCCGTTTTTCGGTCGCATGGTTACCCCTTTTTAGGGGGTATTTTCTACCTCCCGTGTTCGCAAAATATAATAAATTCCGCTACAGTCCAGGTTCGAACACATGCACTAGTGATGACCTACAGCCGCTCTTACCGTTGAGCCAACACTCTGATGTAGAGAACCGGTTTGACCGATATAAGTTGTCCTGTCAGCCGCTTTTGGCAATGACTTCTCCAAAAGGCTAAGTCCGCGACACCGCGGCCGAGTCTGACACCCGTACCTCCGTTGGCCCGAATTCTACTCGATGGACTCGCCGGATGTCCCAAGAATATGAAATATGAGATTATTCATATTATAGTTAATTGGCCCCAGGCATCTAAAAGTGTACGCGCGCAAGACACGTTCTCGGGATCAAGCTGAGTTGGAAGTTGGAAACTTGGGGCCAGCATCGGTTCGCACGTGCGCCTTCGGCCCCCAACTCACTCTGCTCGAGCAGAATGACAAAAATAAAGGAAAAACAATTTTATAATGTTGCTTTTGGTCCTTTGAACCAACTTTGAACACTAACAGACTAAGGAAGATGCAGACGAACCCCCATGAAGTCGGTATTGCTTCGGAGTGTAAATGTGACGTTTCCTAGCAGGTGTTCTATGACGTCGCAAAAGCGGTCAATGCCGAGAGGGTGTGACGTGACTCCCAAAAATTCAATAATACCGTTTAGGGGGTGTATTCTGACGTTTTGACTATTCGCAGTGACGAGAGGTGGAGTAGATAGATTGGGCTTGAGCGAGAAAAAGAGAGAGAGAGGGAAGAGAAAAACTGAACGACTACGAGAGGAGCAGATGAGGAAGGAATAGAGCTCGAGAATGTAGAGCCACCAAGACCGAAGATGGGGATCACGCGCGTATACATAGTATGTATGGTAAACAACAGGAGGCCATAAAACGTGAGGAAACGGCATAACAGAAGTGATCATGAAAGAAAAAGAAAAGAGGGAAGGAAAAGGAAAAGAATAACAGAGTAGATCATGGATCCAACCCAAGAACGAACCAGCCAGGCAAGTGTGCGTTACGATTACGCCCGGATCCTCCACCCATCGCCCTTGCGACTGACCTTGCCCACACCCCCAAAGCCCTCTCTTACGACCAACCACAGCCCGGTGCTACACACCACATCCTTGATCTCCTCCGCCGTGAGCATCAAGCCATTATACGGCTCCCTCCTCTCTTCCTCCTTCTCCTCCTGCTGTTGCTGCTGTGGACCCCCAAAAGGAAACCCGCGCCGCCGGACGACGCTCATCCGCTCGACCTCGACGTCGGGCAGTGGGAAGGGGACTTTGAGCATCGCGACGACCTTGGGGTGGTGTGGCGTGGGCGAGAGCGTGCCCACTTTGATTCTCAGAACCTGGGGCTCTGCGGAGGTGGTGGAGGAGGGTCCGGCACCGGTTGGACTGAGGAGGTTCATCGGCGCGTTTCCGCCCCCGCCCCCAGCAGCAGCAGCGGTAGGGCTCCGCCGGACCTTGAGCGTGCAGACCCACGGCGTCTCCGAGTCCTCCGGGTCGCTCTCCTCTCCATCATCTCGGTCCTCTCCTCTCGTGCTCTCCCGCGTTATCCTCCCCCGCGCGCTTGGTGGCGGCCCGTCGCGCTCGCCGCCCTCCTCCGAGTTGGTCATGGTGCTGAAGCTGCCTGTGCTATTCCGGTGGCGCCGCTTCTCCTCGGCGCGGATCCGGTCGCGCGCGTCTGCCGCTCTGTCTCTGTCTCTCTCGCGTTCACGGTCGCGGTCGTCGCGCTCCCGCGTCCGCTCGCGCAGGCTCTCGACTTCGCCATCGCTCTCCGCCCCCGTCGTCCCATTCGTCCCCACCGACCGCCCGCTCGCCATCCTCCCCCTGCGGCTCCTCCTGCCCACACCAACCCCACCACCTCCACCTCCACCACCACCTTTACCCTTCTCCTTCCCCTTTGCGCGCTTCCACTCAAACCGCACCTCAACACCGCCATACCCCTCCCCTCCTCCTCCCCCGGGGCCCTGCTCCCCTCCGCCCACGTTCGCCTTACCCCCCTTCCCCGTCAACACCCCCAGAATCCCACCTGACTCGCTTCCATCCCTGCCCCCACCCCCACCGAGGTGCAAGTTGAGCCCGAGCCCCGCGAACGCCGACGGCCGCCGCTTCAGCCACCGCCGCACAAGCCACACGTACATCAGTGCGCGCTGGCCCTGGAGCGCCGTCTCCTGGCTCTCCCTCTCCACGCGCGGGCTGAACGTGCCCACCATGGGAGACGACACGCCCCTCTCCTGCTGTTGCACGTGGGCAAGGGCAAGGGCAGCGGTGGACGAGGAAGACGCGGACATGGAGGACGACACGAACGTCGGCTGGATCCCCAGGATGGGCGGGCGCAGCTGGAGCTGCTGCTGCCGGAGGTTGGCCGTTACCTCCTGCGTGAACGAAGGTGTGAGCGCGTGGCCTTGCGGGTACGCTCCTACTCCCTGCCCTTGGGTCTGCGGGAAAGGCGCTTGGGACGCGTGCGGCGTAACAGCGTGCCCGTTCCCGCTCGACCGCGACTCGGTGCTCTCCGTCCGTCCCATACTCCCAGTGCCCAGAAAACTGTTCCGGCTCCGCGTGCTGCTCCGCGCAACACTGGGATTGGGGGACACGTCTCTTGCGTCTCTCACGTTCTTCCTCCCTGTTCCTCCTGTTCCCCCTACTCCTACCCCATTCCCGTTCATCCTCTCTCCGCTACTCTCCCTCTCCCTCTCCCTTTCCCCACCCAAACCCAGCCCCAAACCCAACCCTCCACCAGTCCCAGACCCCGACCCGGAGCCCTCACTCCCAATCAACGCCGACAACCGGTTCTTGTTACTCTTCAGCGTCGCCTTGAGCGGGTTCGTGATCGCCGACGTTAAACTCAAGTTACGTCCATGGCCTTTCTTCTCTTCTTTCTCCCTCTCCCTCTCCCTCTCCTTGCCATCTCTCTCCTTATCTCTATCCCTACCCTCCTTGGCCGGCGCCACCGTCGGCGTAGGCGACAACACCTCCTCCTGCCCCCCATTCCCACCTAACCCACTCGTTATCCCCCCAGGCCGAGGCGTCAGCGGCTGCGTCGGCGTCGTCTGCTGGCTCGTCGACGACACGGGCGACGTCGGCGGCTGCAAGTGGGGGAGGCTGGTGCGTTTACTACCATCCCTCGAAAGCAACTTGGAAGATACAGGCGCGGGGTGTAGAGAGAACGCGCCGAACGATGCTGGTGGGTCGGTTGGGGTTTGGGCTGTACCCGTTGTACCCGTACCCGAGGCTTGGTTGTGGATAGACGAGCTGGAGGACGATGGGACAGTGCTCCCACTGCCACCGCCTTTCTTGTTAAACAGCTTCCCGAAGATGTTCCGCTTCGACGGTGCGGGTCCAGGTGCGGGGGTAGGCGACGCCGGCACAGGCACGTATCCTTGGGGCACGTCGAACGCCGTCCGACCCACACCCGCAGATGGTGGTGGGGGGTCCACAACCTGTGGCTGTGGTTTTGGAGGAGTCGACTGTGTCATACTCTGCCTCGAGTTCCGCCTGTTGGTGTTGGTCTTCGCCGCCACAGCTGCCGCCCCCGCAGCCGCGGGGTTGAGGTTCGACTGGACAGGCGGCGCATGTGCATGCAGCGACGCCGAACTCGACGCTGCGCTCGGTGTGACCGGCCTACTCCCTCCCCCAGGCACCAAAAACCCACCCGTGCTCCTCGCGCTCCTCATCCCTCCTCCTCCCCCACCACCAGGTATACCCACCCCTCCCCCACCCACAGTAACGACCGCCCCCATCTCATCCACGCTAATCCGCATACTCTCCCTCCTCGCCCCCCTCGCGCCCTCCCCTCCACCACCCTTATCCCCCCACACCTCCACCGGCTCCAACAGCGCCAGATCAATCAGCTCAATGCCCCTCTTCTGGAACCGGGCGATCTTGGCGTCCGTGCCGGCGTCGACGATGACGTTGGTCATGACGTTGTGCGCTTGGAGGTTGTATAAGGGGATGATCGTCCTCCTCCCCCCTGTGGAAGAAGAGGTGGTGGTAGAGGTGGTGGAGGAGGCAGAGGCGAGGGAGGCGGAGGAGGTGTAGGTGGATGAGGCGAAGGAGGCGGTGGATGAGGCGTAGTTCGCTAGGGAGACGTTGGATCGATTGGAGGAGGTGCGTGCGAGGGAGGCGCCGTCGGAGGTGCTCGCGATGGTGCTCGCGGAGGTGGGTGTGGTGGGACCGTCGGCGTTGGAGGAGGAGACGACCCCGGTGGGCGGGCGGGCGTTGGGAGGCACGAGTTGGACTTGGAGGTTGAGGGGGTGGTTGGATTTCGAGGGTGGGGGGCGGACGAAGATGAATGTCTGTGTGTAGTAAAAAAAAACAATGTCAGGATCGGTTAGTTGGTAGGTCAGATTAGATTAGGATTGAGATTAAGAGAAGAGAAGAGATGCGTCTAGGAGCAGGCGCAGGCGCAGGCACGGAGAGCTGCAGGCACGGAATGAGGGCGTTTCCTCCATATGGTTATAGTCGTGCCCGAGGACACGATCAGCGCCAAATCCGACCAGGCGGGGATATTCCTCGGCACGAAATGACGCGCGTCGGGTACACGTCCTCCGAGGTTTGGCGTCCAGCCGTCCATCATCCATCCCCTTCACACGTCCGTCCACTCCAGTCCGAGAAAAGTCCTCGTAGGGGCCTTGTGTCGTGTTGATCGTCAAGGCGAATCAGAGTGACAGCCAAGCGAGGTTGGAGCGATGTGTGCAGTGAAGTGAGGTATGAAGTGCACGAAGTGAGGTGAAAGTGACAAGTGTGAAGGGACCCTCCCATCGTCGTACGACTTGCTCAAAACATTGCTGCATGCGAATACCAATATCGGACGCGTGTATGGAGCCGGGTGATACCGCACGGAGCACTGCAGGGTATTCGGCCAGGTTCCGAGGTCGGAGCTGGTGGAGTGGGGGTTCTGGTTCTGGTTCTGGTAGAGCGCTTAGGGCATAGGCTGAAACCCGACACCTGGAACCAACGATCCAACTGGCCATCGGGGAGACGGGTAGCCTGGTGGCGCGAGCTCGCCCCGTTCTCCCGTACATTCGATCTCCAACCCGCACGGAGGTCTGATGGGCGATGGGATGGGCGTAGGGATGGGTGTAGGGCGATTGGGCGACGGCGTAGGCAAACTGGCAGCGCTGTTGGGATGGGTATGGGGACGATCATTTGTTGGTTGGGTCGCGCTGATGATGATGATGTTCATGGTGCTTCTCCCTTCGCCATTCCTTCTGTCTTGTGCGTGCGGGGACCAATCGCCTGTGCCAATCCGAGCTCTGACTGAGATTATCGTTGGTCACTATCTGCTCTATTGAGTTGCATGTGAGGAAGAACACACCTTGGAAGGATTCGTTCTCCGTTCCGGTAAGGAAGGGAGGAGTGACACAACACATGGCCCATGGTCGAGCTCGACCCGGCCGCTTGGCGTGAGCGTGAGCGCCACGGAAACGTGGGCAAGGGCATCGCGGGCAGATAATCAGTGTCAGCGTCGAAGTTGAGCGTACGGAGTGGGGGTGGGGCGGAGGTGTATGCGCCAGTGTACGTATGTCCCAGTGTATGAAGTGTATGATGTCAGGAGAACTTGAACGAGCGTCGGGTCTAATCTCCAGTCGAGTTGGTGGGTGCCTGGCCTGTCAGCGATTCGCGTCGTTGAGGAGCGGTGGGCGTTGTGTTTCGTAATGGTGGGTTGGAGCACCAGTGGTGGATGGAAGGTTGGTTGGTTGGTTGGTCGTGGTTGGCGACGCCGTCACGAACCAGACTGCCCCTCACGCACAGGCTCAAGCTCAAGCTCAAGCTCCAGTTTCACCCGTCCTCACCGTCCTCGTCCCTGCCTGCTCTCCCATCCCATCCCATCCCAACCCCAGACGCAACGACTCGAAACACCACCAACCACAACAACATCAACACCGAAAAGGACTCACCTCGCTCGGCGACTTCCCATCCTTCTCCTTGCCCTTCTGCGGCAGCACCCCTGCCGCCGCCGCCGCTTCTGGATCGCCACCCGTCTGCTGCTGCTGCTGCTGTTGTTGTCCCCGTCGTCCTGCCGCCTCTGGCTCTGGCTCGTCCTCGTCCTCGGTGTCTGGGTTGATAGTCGGCCGTGGCAGGTCCTGCGCGTTCGAGTTGAGGTGCAGGGCCGAGGGCAGGAACGAGGCGATGGAGGAGAACATCGTTCGCTCAGGTCGTATGAATGGATGGGGTAGGGTGGGAGGGGGAGGGTAGGGGGGTGTTAATGGTACTGGTTCGCACTACGGAGGAGGAGGAGGAAAAGGGAAAAGGGGGCGTTCGAGGTTCCAAAGTCAGGTCAGGCGATATAATCGTGAGCGTGAGCGTTGTCAGTTGGGTTCGAGTAAAAAGGACGGACAGACGGGCTTGGCTTGGCTCCTTCGGCTGCGTCATATCCCGATATGTCAGGCCGTTTCCTTTTATTTATTCCTGAATCCTCCCCTTTCGTTTTGGCAGCCAAAGTTTCGTGATCATGATCACCGGCGAACGCGGTCCACAGTCCACGCCCCAAGCTGCGCTCCGACGAGTACGTGTTCTACGGTCCTGGATCCCGTCTGTCCATCCATCGCCTTCGAGCTCGACGGTCTCACTGGCCCACCTACTACTAGGAAGCCCTCTACTTCTTTTTCTTTCTTGAACGGTTTATCGTCCCACAAAAAAATCATGCTTACCCTCGGCAGCCGCTGGCAGCCGGTCTGAATAAGCGCACTAACGCTAGCGCTCGTGTTCGTGTTGTTCGTGACTCGCGTTGCCTTACACCCCCACTGACGGTACGGCAGGGAAACTTTGGGCTCCGAGTCATTCCAAACGATAAGATTTCTGCTCTCCCGGTGCCGCCCATGCAAATTGGAAAGAAGACGACGGCACGGTGACGGAGCTTGGCTAGGAACCCTGGAAGCTCAGCGCCAGCGCTCATTGGGCACGGATGGGGAAGCCTGCAGAGCGTTAATTTCAGGCTTCGCCGGGCTCGCGCGTTCCTGAATTCCTACTTACCCCTTGTTGAGTGCTTTCCTTTTTGCGACGCGTAGCATAACTGCGGCGGCGTAAGCGCGCCGGTCCGCGGCTGCCACCCCTTCCGAGTTATACTCTAACTTAGTATCGTTCGATTTCGATCACGTCGTGTTATTTGTCGTACCCTCCAAGGACACCGAACGAGGTCACCAAAAAAAAATGAAAATCCGGCTCGTACATAAGTGGAGACAATTGCAAAACCGGGCGGAGGAGACTCGAGAAGCATGCGCATGGATCTTTCGAATTCTCTTATATCTTCTTTCTGGCATGTTGCGCTCGAAGATGAACTCGGGAAGCCAACCGCGGATAACATGCAATCCGAAGAGTATCTGTGATGACCGTTGACCGTTGACGCCACAGCGCAGCGCTCAGCGCTCAGCCTGCAACGTTGCACGAGAAACTGCGAGCACTCTATAGCGCCTGTCGGGTGACTCGGGCCTTCGTCCATCCGCTCCCAATTCGACGGCCAACTCATCCCTGATTACGCTAAGTACTTACTACCGATGATCATTGTCAATCGATGATATTTGGATACCTAGCATACCTTGATACCCATCCTACATATTTCCTTGGTTTCTGGCTCCGGATCAGGTAGGGACGAGCCCGAATTTGAGCCCGGGCCCAGCTACACACTGGTAGTAAGTACGTATACCTACTGGGGAGGACATACATCGTGTAGTACAGACTCGACTCGGCGAACACTACTTATCGTCACCTCCAACCTCAAAGGAAATAATTATAACTTAGGTACGCAGAGACGCGTACGTCGTCCGACTCACCTCGAGGCCCGATCCCGGTCCGAGTTCATAGGACCCACCACACAAGTACTTTAATTATACGTATGAGTCTAGTGGTATGCACCCTGCCTCGCTCCCTCCTTATTTCCTCGAAAATCGGACGAATGGAGGGCGGTAATCACCCCCGCTTGCTAAGCCCACCGTCATCTCAAGGGTTCTCATGTCAAAGGTTTTCGTAAACTCGGCGTTCATTGACATCTGTCATGGGTTGCAGCTTTCATATGCGTTACCCTGAGGTCGTACGGTCTCATGCCATAAGTGACAAAAGGAAAAGCGAAGACAACGATCGCACTGATCGCAATCGCCTCACAGTGAGAGCGGTTGCAAGTAACCGCTCCCTCTACGTTCTTCCAATTTCGTTATTGCTCATACCGCAGCGTCGTCGGCAACCCTCAAACCGAGAGAAGAAAACGTTCACGCTCTATTGGCATCCTTCGGAAAAGAGCCATCCGGATTCTCTATAGAGTACCACGGGCGCCTGATCGTTTACCCCGGGTCATCTTGCCTCGCCCTCGCCCTCGCTCAGGTTCCCTCCCTTGCCCAAACCAAAGTCGACAAATTTGGAGAACCGCCCTAAAAGCTTGCTAACAAGATGGGACTCGACGCTTCGGAGGGTCTTGGCCAGAAGCCAGATCCTTCCTCGTCCCAAGAAACGAAGCTAAGCCAAACTGAGCTCTCCCGTGCCTACAGAAGTAGGCGGTTGATTGTGTGGCGCACCGCAGCAGCTGTGCGCCGCAGCGCTTCTTGCCTGCTTCGTGACGTAGTACGTACGTACGTCTTGGTCCCGGCTGGCGAGACAGCCGTGCCGTCTTGGCGCGCGCCTCCTGCAACGAGGGATTTGACAATAATAACGACAACAATGTGGGAGGGAGTTCAGAAGGCAGCAGCGCAGTCGTCCCCTCGAGCCGACGTGACTGCGACTGCGACTGCGCTCCTGACACTTCCTTGGTGAGATTACATCGCAATTTGTAGTTGATCATGATGAAGTCTAGGGAGTTACATATGGCGAAAGGCCAGGACAGAGCGGCGGAAACTGCAGTCGAACTTTTACGTTCTTTGATATTAATATTACGGAGGTGGCTCGTCCCTTTGAGCTGCAAGCATGAGGAGATAGTGGGATGGTATCGGACATTTGGTGGGAGTCCCGCGTGGGGTGTTTGGCAGGATTCGGGCGTGGTGGGACGTGGTGGGCGTCGAATGGCCATACCCAAGCCATTTGGCTAAGGCAATTGATCAATTAATCACCCCGCGGCCGTATCGTCGATTTGCCGAAATTCCCTACATCTTCAAAGTCGGAGCAGTCGAACTCGAGGAGTTGCGATCGACAGGACACGACGGCGAATCTATTCCGGGACATTCGGTCAAAGACCCAAAGTTCGAGCCATTTAACGGTCTGCCAAGCCCACTTCGCGCTCTTTGTGTGGCGCACCACGTTAGCGGTTAGCGGTTAGTAGTTACCCCATCCTTCGTGCACAAAAAAAAGCAGGGGTTGGTAGTGCGCATTGATTTGTCGGATTTCGAACTCGTTCAATGACGCAGGCATGGCAATAAGCGGATCATCCTGGACATTGAGGACCTTTCGCTGCGCCTGTCTGCCCATCAGCCATACATCATGAAAGCCATCGGATGACTGCGGTTTCGATACCAATTAAAATTCAAAAACCGTACGACAATGCGACTCGAGGAGAGCTCTTTGCTAGTTGGGGAGAGCATGGTTAATCAGATAAAGAGTGCTGCGCGTTGGGCTTGAATCTCCGTCGTGCTTGGTCGTTGACACTATGATTTGTCTCGCAGTGCAGGGCAGAAGTCGTCAGATGAGGTAGAAGGGAAGTTAAGCCGCCACATACCATTGTCGCAGTTTTGTGAGAATGGGTGGTAAATATGTGTGTTGACCAGGCAAGATTATCCGGAAAAGCACAGCAGCAGCCGGAGGTGTCGAGACAACCCCCTCTTCTCCCTCTTTGAACCGTGTTCTTGCCGTGGGCTTCGAGCCTCCTTCAACACTCGCAATGTTTGCCCTCGGAAACACCTTTGGACCAATCATGACTTTGGGTATCGACGGCACGATAGCACTTATGTACAAGGAGTCAGACGGTGAAGTACTCATTATCTCACAGATAGGAATACTTAAGCGTCCATCAGCAGAACTACCCGCAGGTAAAATAGCAGGCTGAAAGGGGCCTACACGAGACTGTCGAGGGTCGATGCGGGCTGGTAGCGAGGAGGCACAGCTTCTGCTGGAACATGATGAGCCCGAGCTACTGGCGAGTTCGCGCTCGGAGGATCGACCGAGTAGCTCTCCCATGACGCATAGAGGGCGGCTTGCTCCTCGAGGGCAATATCTGTTGCTGGAGAAAATATTGACCAAGGGTTTAAATCAAGGAATACCGAAACGTACAGGGACTTGTAGCCGGGGCGGCAGGACGCTTCTTCAAAGGTCTGGACTTCCTCTTGATGCACGCAGCTACCATTAAACCAAGAATGAAGCCTATGAAAATCAAGCTGGTATTCGCCAAAGCTCCGAAGATTGCACCGACAATAGCTGGACGGAAATAAACGACTTCAGAAGCTGTTCCGTCAGAATTACACCAAGGAGACGTACTGCGAGTGACCATCCCAACTGTTGGAGGCCCAGGGGTATAAGTGAGATAATCCAGCCAGTACAACCCGCCATCCACCTCGTTCCGAATGACCAAGGTATGTCGTCCAGCCGAAAGTTCGGGGGAGCGGAAGAAGGGCGTCCGGTACATCTCGCGTGAGCGATCTTCCGGGCGCTGCGGGGTGTAGAACACAGGCTCGCCGCCGTCGATCGTGTACGAGGACGTGGGGTAGAGGGAGGCGTTGACCGTGACCGTTCCGTAGACCGAGACGGAGGTTCCTATCCCAGGCTTATCAGATATGAAGAACAGAAGCGTGAGGGAAGAGGAGGAGACGCACCGTCAAAGGAAAACGTCGCTGTTGCGCCTTTCCTGGTGGTCAGGGAGGTGGTGCCCATGTACTCCCAGAATCCGCCATAGGAGCGCGTGTTCCAGTCATATAGAGGCGGTTTGGAGTAGACTATCGCGGGATCGCGGTCGTCGACTGTCTTCTCCTGACGCGTTGCTGGAGAGTTGGGTATGGCTGAGGGAGATTGGAGACGTTAGTTTATGACGAAGGACGCGATTTGAATTTGAAGATGCTTGCCTGGCATTGCTGGGGCTGATTTTCGCTTATGGGTCTGAGCCTACCAGGGTTTAAACTGGTAGTGGGTTACAAGACGAAAGAGCCGTGCCGGATCGAAAGCTAAAAGGAATGGCGAGAGTGAGTGGTTAGAAGTTGTAAAGGGATGATAAGGAAGTAAATCAAAGAGTAAATCAAAGAGTCAGGAACACAAATAACAGTGTAATTGTGGGAAAGGCTTGGGTGTCCGTCATGCCCGAGCCCCTGCCGAGAAGCACGGCATTTCCCCTCGGGCCTAGACTCTCCGTCAGGGGCTACTATGATGCCAGGAGAACACTTTGGCGCTCAAAAGCGACGAAGAATTATGCACCTGCGTCAGAGTTGTTCAGGTCCTCACTCGGAGTTTTGCAACGGACGTGAGTCTTCCTGTTGGCCATGTACCATTCAAGGAACACTTGACGCCGGAGTCTCCTCGGGAAATGCCGCCCATCAATGATCTTCATTTGGGCGCTAACCGTTGCCTAAGGTGGACGACCTTCATTCAGGAAGACGCGAAAGTACAGTTTAGCTTGTTTGCCGGAATGAGTGCTGGAGAGCTACTTCGTCTATTTTTTAAAAATGCCTTGTGTCTGAAATAAATTAGGGCATACCTCAGAAACCTAACGGGAATGGCCTTCGCATCGACGGTGACGGTGTACAATAAAATGCCGCATCTACACTCGCCCATCACTCGGATTTCCAGGTGAACTCTTATGATCCCGAATTATAGGCATAGAAGGCCCGGTAGACACTCTGTCTAGCTCCAATAGTTGCTTGAGCCGGTTCTCGTCAATTGTTATGTTGCTGCGTAGGGTGGTGCTAGCGCTAAGGATGGACAAATCGTCCAAAGAAGAGCGACGTTCAGTGCCTGTGTCGTTCGCCGTGTTGGTAATCCCATAGCGAGATTCGTCTCCAAAGGACATCTTGTCGTGCTCCGTGCTCAAAAATCGACGACCTAGAGAATTTGTTACAAGCAGTTCCGGTGGACAAAAAATGTAACTTTTACCTGAGCTCCAATCCTTCAGCATTCCCTGATCTGTTGGATGGTTCCGCTTCTTCGCCCGCTTCCGTATCACAATAGCAATGGTGACTACGACCCCTATAAAAATAATCAAGCCCAAGATACCAGACACAATTCCAAGTACCCTGGGGTCAGACGAAGTGGTTGCGCCATGACCACAGGAAGTGGGAGAGGACGGGTGAGAAGAGCGAGACGGAGAGTCTGGTCCGTCGAGAGGTGGAGGCACGTTCGTGTCAATAGAGATTACCACGAGGTAGTCCAACCATAAGTGACCACCTTCGAGCATGTTCTCGATAACAAGCGTATGGTGTCCTGCGGGAAGTACAGGTGATTCGTAGAACTTGATGTGATAACCCGATTCCGAAGCTTCGAAGACTGAATGTTGCCCACCGTCGATGGAACACCTGCTCTTCGGCTTGGTCGTTCTTGGATCGCCACTAACAGTGCCGTAGACTGCTATGAAAGAACCTGAAACGATGTCAGATAGTTTCGAGCGTCGAAGAAGCAAAGTAGTTACCGACGAAAGAATGCGTCACTGTCGCTCCTCCTGTTTGAGTGAACGAAGTTGTGTACATAAATTCATTTTTGCTTCCGCTGCTGTTTCTATTCCAGTCTTGAGACGACTGCGATGAGGAAGAAGCGGACAAAATGATGTCGGGATCACGGTCGTCCACAATGCGGACTTGCAACCTGCCGGCTGTCATTTCTCTGCTTATCATTAGAATTCAGTTGATTTTTGGAAGCAAGGAATACTTGCCTATCCAAGCCAGACGTATACAACCGGCTGTACAAGAATGAAGAAGTGCGGGTGACGGATGAGAGTACGGAATTTCTCTTTCCTCCACGGATATATCGCGTCCTTACAGATGTATGGACCTCACCTCAGTTTGCCAGCATTTGACACGAGCATCGCGATGCACTCGGAACCGAGGTATCCTTGTGTCCAGTGTTTCGAAGGAGTAATTTTGTGGAACACAGGTGAGAGTTATCAAAACTCGTTTTGTCTTTTGCACTTGGATCGAAAGGTACGAGACGAGGCTGGGCGGCAACCTCAGCTGCCCTGCAATGATTCCCTCAGAATAGAACCTTGCGGTGCCTTTAGAAGAGGTCCGATTCATTCATCCACAAAGCGGCGGTTTAGCCTCAGAAGACAGTTCGAGTCTAAGATGTGGACTGAGGCGACCATACCGTTGACGACGTGTCACTAGGTGGGACATGGGACGAGGTGGGACATGGGACGCGGTTGTTCGGAGTTCGACCTCGTCATATAATCAGAGGAGAGGCCCATAGGATTCGAATGGATCCGAGGGTTGAGTCGAGGTGAGGTGAGGTGAGGCAGAGAGCCGAGAGCGACAAGTTGCTCTTGTTGAAGCTCAGACTCGGACAGTCGGCCCGCCATTTCCGAGACAGCAAACACCTTCCTCAGCACGGCATTACACCTCGATCGATGTATTAACTCTAAGCTATGAAATTTTTAAATAACGCTTACTTCTTCCTCCTTTCAGACAACATCTCGTTCCATTGAGGGTACGCCCTTGTCGGAGTATTCCTGTGCCAAAGTAGAGCTTCGTGAAAGTCGATCCAGATTTAGCATTATCATCTTTTCGTCGATATATCGAGTGGGCTCATCGGGGTTCATAGGCTTCATAGTAAAATCATTTTCCTCGAACGACATAGGGGGTGCTGCAGATGGCACGCCCAGATTTCTGCCAGCGGCGCTGTGGGCATTGCAGAGTTGTAACGGTCGAAGAGAATTTCCGGAGAGGGCTGTTGTAAATCGGCGTTAAAAGAAAAGGAGGCTCAGTCGGACGTCAATTCATTGAACACTTACCTGCATTGCACTTCTGTCGAGGTCGGTCTTTCTCCAAGTTTGATGCCCTATAGCTGCCCCTTCGTTTCACGAAGATGATAATACCAAACAAAATGGACAGAAAGGCGACCGCGCCGAGAGATACAGAGACGATCGCGATTGTCTTCCCGTCAGAAGGAGTCCATGCAGGACTAGTCGTTTGTTGTGAATTCAGAGTGGCCGTAAGAGTAGAAACTGCAGTAAGAAGGTCGAAGGATGTGGGCGAGGGAGCGTCTACGACCATACCGATCTCGAAGTAATCAAGCCAAAAGAAATCGAAGTCGACTTTGTTCGTGATCAACAAGGTATGATTCTCCTTGCGAAGGGTCGGGGATCGGAAAAAGAGTTGATGGTAAAGATTCCATGTCACATTAGGTGCCTTGAAAATTATTTCTGGGCCATCGTCGATAGAGTAGGCGCTGATTGCGATTGGCCCTTGAGTTGTCCCAATAGTGCCATAGACGGCTATTGAAGAACCTAATCGATACATGGCCAATTGTTTGATATAATCATTCAGACGTTGTAAACAGCGCTCGAGAGATGATACGAACCAAAAAATGAAATTCTGGCGTTTGCCCCACTCTTCCGGCTCCCGGTCGTGGTTTCATAATATTCGTTCAACCCTCCTCCCCGAACCCAATCATCCCTAGAGTGATTGGAGAAGAGGACCGAAGAATCGCGGTCGTCAATGCGATACCAGACTTCCATTGATCTGTCGGGGTATTTTAGATCAGCTAAGAATAAATAGATGGAGAACCGACGTACTTCCAGAGGTCGATGTACCAGGTAGGAAAGGAGCGCCCAATATCGTATGACTTGAGCAGCGATGGAACCACGAGAATATCGAGAGATTGGGTTCACCTCTACATTATACATAACCCGCACTCTACTTCAGCGTTTCTCGTCGAGTCAAGATAACACTGGATAAGCACACTAGCCTCACCTCGAGATCGGTGCATGTCGCTCGCGTATTCCGAAATCACCGCGAGAGGGTACTCCGGCGACGCAACCTCCACTGGAACAGGCCTCCTTCTCAAAGACCTCAGCTGTCCTGAGTTGCAAGGACAACCCTGTCAGCAAAGCAAGGCGAGAGTCGATGCGGGCTCCCTTGTGTCAGTCTTTCCGGAGCTGCCAGTCCAAGCTTGGATGAGAGTGTCCTCATGGTTGAGGAGGATGGAGCCTTCGAGGTGGCAACTCGCTAGATTTGGCGTTCCGCCGCTAGGCTCTTTCGGCTTTTGCCGTGGCAGGGTCTCGACCACGAGCGTGGCTGTGCCTCCTTTGAGGAACGGCGCCTAATTTTTAGCCTTGACTGGCAAGCGGGGAACGGAAATAAGGGCGATGGTTGGCCCGCCTTCTATCATTCTCACCAACTTCTTCATTATCCGTGTCCTAATGCTACACTCACTTTGCCAGTGTATTCAATTTCACTTTATAATAAATAAGTTCTGAACTGGGAGCACCTTTTCGTGTTTCTTGCGAGGTCAATCAGAGCCGTTGAAGACACCCTAATCCGTATCCGTACCAATATCGCGCATAAGCTTCTTCTCGTCTATATACTGACTTTGATGTGTCAGATAATTTGTGTCAAGTTCTGACTGAATTTCTCCCAGACTGCCGGCGGTGGGACAGGGTGTGTGTGGTTCTGTATTCCCATGGAATAAATCTGGACGCATACCGGCGTTTGTAAGAGCACAACGTACTTATTAGCTCTAGATGCCCACCTATTTTCTGGCGGTCTCGAGTTGACTGCAATTTCCTCATTCGAAGGCGTCGTCTCCTTTTGAGGAACATCACTACGTAGAATAAAACACCTAACACAATGACCGCGCCAAGTGTGCCAGAGACGATTGCTATCGTCCGACCGTCAGAAAATGAAGCTTTATTGGGCTCTTGGTGGCTGCTTGCGACGTCGGTTGGTTGATATAGACTGGTAGAAGAAGGAGCAGCGCTGATGCTCACGTCGAAGTAATCCAAGTAGAGGTCGCCGGCGTCGACTTCGTTCGTGATTACCAAGGTATGATTGCCGTCGGGTAGGAACGGGGATTGGAAAAATCGACGGTGATATCGGTTATGCAGCTTATTGGTGGTGTTGAAAATCGTAGGAGGGCCACCGTCAATGGAATAGGAACTGGCTGGGGCTGGCTCTAAGGGTACTCTCTTACCGATCGTGCCGTAAACTGCTATCGAGTAACCTGATCACACGGAAGGGTCTTCAATTCCACAGGGCGTGCTATATAAACTGAAGGACGAACCATGAAAGGAAACCGAGGCCTGCGTTCCGCGCTTGCGGCTCAATGTTGTGGTTCCCTTGAATTCCTTCGGCGTACCAAGACCGTACGTTGCCCAATCCCCAGAGACATTGTTGTAGGAGACCGCATGATCCCGGTCATCTATCCTGTGCCACAGTTCCATGAATAATTTCTAAATTGACTCAATGTGAGGACAGCCCAAGAAATGTGCGGGATATAAGAGACGTACCTGCAAAAAGTACAATGCAACGCAGTGAAAGGTTCATGATTTAGAAGAGGCTATTAAATAAGAGCCTGTCAGCAATATATGCCAGCAGTTACGAGGTTTCAGGTTTCATGTTTAGATGAACCGATAAACGTGCCCATCTCAGGGAGTCGCTGGCTCCATGGAGGTGAATGGGCTAGAGGACACCACTATATATAGTTAGCAACGCCTGTGTGCCATGTCAGCGACATGGACAATTCAGCAACTCCCACACTGATCGCGTAGTGGGGACTACTCTCGGTTCTCGGCGTATGTTGGCTGTAACAGCTCGAATGCTGAAATTTGCAAGCTCCGAATCCTGCTGAAACACCCACAATCATTACTAGGAGGGAAACGAGGAAAACGAGGCAGCAAGCCCCTACCAATGGTTACATCAATCTCCCATGGAGTCCCGGTCACAGATATCTTGTACAAATTAAGTAATCAGACAACTGAGATAAAGGCAAGTCTGAGTAGGGGAGATAAGATGCTGATCATCGTCAATGTAACGGACTTTCGAATTCTGACGAACATGTCCTGCGATGACATGAGTCCTGGCCTCTTCTCAGGCGAGTCTGATAGGACTTTGACAGATGCTTTGCTACCTTATTCACCCTTCTTACATACCCTTCTTATAGAGCTGCTCTCCTCATTCATTATCACCCTTCCGCTTTCTCTAAAGTGCCCAAGCACTGTCAATATATTGCCCTATTGGTGACCAACATCAGGTGAGATGTAACTTATTGTTTTATATCTCAAACTGGGATTACTCACACAAGCTTAAGTTTGTATGATGTCACTTCGGACAGTAGTTGATGACCGGGACCCAAACATTACCTACTCCCTGTCAGACTGGACGCAAGAGGGTGCATCCTATGAGTTTAATGAGACTACCTCAGGATGTCATCAACAAGGATGCAGGGCCATGTTCCGCTTCGAAGGCGAGTGTCTCAATGTTATGCAGTCTCATCTAACGGGGCATGTCTTAATTTCACCCTCTCCTAGCAGGAACGTCGATCGAAGTCTATGGGACCGTTGTGGGGTACGATAACCCCGCTAATAGTTCTTACACTGTCGATGGAGGTCCAGCAACATCCTTCCTAGCACCAGCCGCTTTCGTGGCTCAATTTCCGCTCTTCCGCTCTATGGATCTTGCACCGGGACAACATACCTTGACAATACAAATAAAATCCGAGGGATCCCATTACTTCCTCGACTTTATGATAATCTCATCGGTTGTGGCATCCACATCTGTTGGACAAATGTCTCCTACGAATTCAGCCATGAATCCGATGAACTCGCACTTAGATCCCTCAACAAGCACCATTGAAACAAGGCCTCCGTCTAATAAAAATATGACCACCATTTTGATTGGCCTGGGAACAGCCATGATTGCAGTATGCATAATAACCGGTCTTATGGCATACAAGTTTGGGTCTCGAACAAGAGAAATTGGACAGTGTGCTGGCGATAGCTCGTCAGAAGGTGCGCATCTCGTGCAGATCATCCCCGAAATGATAGTTCTGACGTCGTTCCTGGTCCGCTTGAAGAATCACGGACAACATGGACAAGAACGCTCTTTTCAAGATTAAACTTTCGGACAAATTCAGTGGTCTCTCCATATACTGCGTCTGCTAATGAAATCGGAGTTCCTCGAGATGGGATGGTTAGCGTGACCGAAAAAGGAGAAGTGTGGCGCAATGGTTCAGGGGAGGCAGGGCTCAACTTGACCGGCAATCCTCCTTCCTATTCTATATGAGCAAAATTAGGATTCTTGACTACTGGTTCATTCGTAGAGTTAATTATGCTACGTACACTTCGTCTCTGTTCACATCAGCAATAGAACCAAAACTGTATTTAAATAAGAGAATAGATATGACAAGCGGGTAGTCTGCCCGGGGGGTTCACCGACCTATTTCGTGGCACCACAGGTCTCTCAAAAATCGTACAGCCAGTTCTTCTTCCGCTCTCTGACGTTGACTCCCGGAAGACATGCCCTCATAATCAGGAATGACTAGACGGCGGACACTGATAATGGTCGAATTATATGACGTTTTTTCTGGGGGTGTCGTTAAGTATCCCGTCCTCTCCTATAAGCACGACATCTCGCGTAGCGCCCTCCCCGACACCAATGACACCTCAATGCCAGTACTATCCTCCACAATGTCAGTACTACCACGGCCAACTCATCAATCGGCGAACACAGACTCCCTGGAGTTCTATCCCAGCAAACTACGGCCGCTATCATTGTGGGCCTCCTCGGTGGTATTGTTGCCGCCTGCTTTATTACCAGTCTCACGAAGCAAGATACGACTCTGCGTGCCACTTACCTGTCTAGAGGTAGGTCTCATATCCATCCCTTCGTTTGACAAAATTTCTAGATTCATCCGACATTCAATCTTCTGGCTTACTCGCGGGGATAAGGAACTGGAGAGATGGAACGAACCAAGTGATTACACCATTTATGGACTCTGAAGCTACAATAATGTGAAACGGCGGCGACAGAATGCGAAAGGTCGGGTGCGGCAAAACTCTTCGAGATGATTGCCTTCTCCCCGAGGCGAGTTAGGCGGGCTATTCTCCCACATTCCCGTTCCAAATAATTTCGATAAATGCAGTTAATGCTCTTTGGAGGATTATTTATCTCTCTCAAGCTCGGTAACTGCGGATCGTGAATAAATCAAGAATTGCAGAGAATGCATCATCAAAGCAAGATCAAAGCAGTAATTGCAATGTACGAACCTTACAGTTGAAGGCAGCTATGTCAGGGGGCGTCCCAGACCACAACGGAGCTAAAAGTAGCTTGAGGACTTCGGGAAATCGTGTCGACGGATCTCAACTTCGATAGCAGCGGGTTGCATATCCCTTGGTCTCCGCCCTGTCTAGCGAATTCCGTAGGGGGACGTTTCTGTTCTGTGTTTGAATCATGTCATCTGGCAGCGGTGAAAAAGCGAAGAAATGCTTTGCACCGACCGAATTTCTTTGCCGGTATCCACCTAAAATACTCAGATTCCTCGTCTCAGGTGCTAGAGGCCGGAAATACCGCAGCGTGACGTAGACCTCGCCTGACTGTCAGTTTCTATAGACTGTCAGAACTCCGGCGAGGAGCAGAGGTGTCGACAACTTTGCGAGCAAGGGAGAGTCTACACATGTGTAATACCATATTCCCACGGTGATTTGCATCCAAGGCAGCACAACGATAGTCACTTCGCTTCAATCCGCCACCAATCTGCCAGCATCTACAGATTCCTAACCACTGTCAGCACCGATGGAACGTGAATGACGCGAGATTGCTCTTGTAACATTCCGTTACGGGCTGCGAGTGTGCGAGGCTCTGTGCGCTCCTCTCCATGCTAGATCTATGATATCATCGAGATCGTCTACTGTCTCGCGCTCACTCTCTGACCGGGTAAACGTTGGAAAGTGGTGGAAATTGGCTATTCTTCGTTCGGGACGACTACAAGCAGCTGCCACCGCCGATAATTATCTTTGGCAACACGCTCTCATCGCTCCGCCCGCCGAGCTCAGTCACCAGCTTCCCTCGACTTGGCCGGAGTCCAAGCACGGGGAGCCGTGATACAACACTACTGCTGCGGAAACTTCACGTTACCACGTACGTGCATTGGTTCTGTCTCTGACCGAGGTAGCTTGGTCTCAGCGCAGCACGCCATGTCTCAGCCAAGCACGAAGTTGGCGCCTGTGGGTAAAGGTACAAGGGGCCGAGGTCACGTACGTCGTGTTATGGGGTCTGAAAGTATCTCTTTGCCCTTCTGGCATCATACTTCTGTCAACCGATGTGGAGTGTACCCTTACCGGCTGGCCTCGGCAACTTTTTTGGGGTCCACTCAAGTATTCTGCGGACCCATCTTTGGCCTGCTGTCTTCACTTGTAATCGAGCCTAGAGACGCTGGCTCCTCATTACTCTGCCAAACAACTTGCGTTTCGATTCCTGCCCCGTCTCTTCTCAACTCGGAATGATTTAATTTTGCGCTAGCAGCTCGTGTAGTGCGAGTATGGCTTGAGGCGCAATGACGGAGTGGAGTACAGGTTGTCATATCAAAACGAAGAACAGCCAGAAATAGGTGGCGCGAGCGCTCCTTTCCCCAAAGAATACCCGCTTTACAGAGTGCATGTTTCAATCTTCCTTTGACGCAAGACGAGACGTCATATGGTTGTCTTGGCTGTTCTCCTTATGAATACGACCTGAGGCTGAAGGTATATAAGGCCGTCGCCCAGTGTCCGCCCAAAACCCCCCACGCCGTCATCACCCCACTACAGACCAAATTATCCACCGCACAAAAAATGAAGTTCTGGAGCCCCATTCTTGCTGTCGCGCTCCTCGCCTCCTTCGTCGCTGGCCAGGACACAACTGTGACTGACACCGCGACTGACACTGCGACTGATACTGCGACTGATACGGCGACTGATACGGCGACGAGGTATATTGACCCTCTCTTAGTCTCGTGCACAAGTTAACCATGACTCTATTAGCATAACCCTCGACCCAACGTCGGTTTCGGACGTGTCTTCCTCAGTAGCGACATCCCTGTCGTCGTTGATCTCGTCCATCTCGTCCGATATCAGCTCGGACATCAGCAGCCTCTCGTCGCAGATTTCCACCGCCACCGACTCAGCAAGCTCGGTGATCGACACAGCAACGTCCATCGCGGCCGACCCCACTGCGGTGACGGGAGCAGCCAACCCTGCTGCAACGAACGGTGTGGCGGCGATCGGCATCCTTGCTGGGATTGTCGCTGCGCTTGTGTAAACTCCGCCGGACGGAAGTTGAAGGAGGAGGAAGAGCAGACTCGTGGTGGACTGTATCAACGGACCTCGTGCCTCAGGACTCTTATTTTTGGATGCGTAGACTACATCCCTCATTCTCCGCCATACCTTTATTTAGGACCCGACTCTTGTGTAGACACTTGGTAAACACAAGTGAGCTCCTTAGGCTGCTTTTCCCTGATGCAGAAAACTCGATGAACAAAACTTGAAGTCAAAACAATTTCTCTGGCGAAGGTACCTGTCGTAAGCAAGTCGTAAGGGTCGTTCATTTCCGTTGACTCGAAGGTGAGTGGTGCGCTTCAGAAGGAGCGCTTTTTCCGATTGGACGGAAGAATCAGCTTCGTTTCTTCCTGGTCTGTTGATTTTCTATCGGTACGCTCACGACCTATCAAGTAAAACCAATTGATTCTTGACTGGACACCCCTATTTACCTTCAACGTGACTTCGGCCTTTGCCGACTAACCTCTCGTCCCCCATCAACAGCTGGCCTTAACTCGAACCACATCCAAAGGCATGGTCATCTAGCAGTGATTTCACGGCTCTGGCGCAAGACGAGTGTCACTTCTGAATGGCCAGTACTACGAGGACGCACTTAGATTCGCAAGCTGGAATTTCGGTGACAGGTGAGTGTTTTTACCTGCGCGAGCTCTTCCGTTCAGGCCGGGACAGATTCATGTGTGTGTGGTCTTTGTTATGTAATTTCCTAGTGCAGCAGCAGCTCGCACAGAACCGTGTGGTGGACCGCGACGACTCCTAGTTGCAGTTGTTCCCATGAATTCGAAGTCTGGCTCCTTTCTTAGCAACCTCTTACCCATGGGGCGATCTTTCCTCTCACCTGCGGCTAGAGCTCTGATTGAAACCTCTCCAATGATTCAAGGACCTGTGCTTCCCACACTGGAGATTTCAAATTGGGTGATCGCCATGCTGGGAGTTCTTCGGATCCTTCGTGACATGTCGATCGCGCCAGCCATATCTTGTGGCTTGGTAATTATAGAAGATAGTAAGAGTTGACACCGGTCGACGGGTTATGTACATCAAAATGCGAAGGGTGTAGCGCGTGAGCACCCTAGTTCTCCTTTCTTATGGTCAGAAAAAAATTCAGGGCAACTTCAGAAGCGGGAGAATATCGGAGAGAAACTAGGCACCACAAGGTAGCCTGGCGCTATGCCCCGCACAAAGAGCGCGTCTAGTTGCCTATAAATGTTCGGCTGTTCCCACCCGAACGCCCTTTTTGCGGCGAGGGCGGGCTTGACATCGTGGATGGCGAGTCTTGTGACGTGCCCCCGGTCGTGTTGCACGATGGCGAGGCAGCTATTCTAGAATAAGGTGGGCTGAGAAGCCTCTGTCTGTTATTTATGTGCTGACCGATATTAATGTACCGTAGATGATTAATAGCTCGATGATGAGAGGATAGATGGTCTGTAGAACGCACCTCGCGGCCATATAAAAGGGTACGATGGCGAGCTGCAATCCCGAAGTTATTCCCCCTTCAAAACTCCCGCAAGGAGTGCGCGACCAGCTCATCGTGTGGCATGTTGTCCCCAGCCATCATCTCGTTCTCCCTCTTCGCCATCAGTGCCCTCGGAGCTGGAGTTCGCCCCGGCCAGATAAAGAACCTGGTCACTTTCGGCGACTCCTTCACGGATACCGCCATCGTGTCTAATGGCGGCACCCAATGGCCCGTGTACGCATCAGGATACACTGGCGCGAAGTTATTCCCGTATGCGCGTTCTGGCGCGACCTGCTCGAACAAGATCACCTTCCGGCCCTTTCCGTCCCTCTTTGAGAGCCAGTTGCCAACCTACTTCAACGCGACGAGTACGCCAGGAGGCAACTTGGACCCAGCATCGACACTTTATACCCTTTGGATTGGGACCAATGATGTTGGATCGAACGCACTGTTGACTGGTCATGGGATTGGCGATGCGAGCCTGGTGGAAGTTACGGAGTGCATGGTCAACTGGGTGAAAGTTCTGTACGACAGTGGTGCTCGAAACTTCCTATTCCAAAACGTAAGTCGTGCTGATTCGCGTCCATCGATCTATCCTTGACTCGTGCTCGCCTGATGTTTCTTAGATGGTTCCTCTTGAAACCATTCCGCTATACGCGCCAACCTCATACCCCACTCGCTATTGGACCGCGCAACGCAACACAACTGAATGGAGCCTCTTCATGAGGGAACTCGTCCTCTCCGGAAACGCGCTGACAAAACTCATGTTACAAGCTTTGGCTCCGACTCTCCGTGGTGCTCATATCGGTACGCTTATCCTACCATTCAGATGACTGAAGTACTTGTTAAACCATCTTTCAGGTATCTTCGACGCACACTCCCTCTTCGCGGACATGTACGCCCGGCCTCAGTTGTATCTAAATGGAACCGTTCCTTTCAACATTAATGGCGCAGTCCACGCATGTGTCTTCCAGTTGAATGAGCCCACAAGCAACCCGGGCGTCTGCACCGATGTTGAAGGCTCCGCTAGAGACAGCTATCTTTGGTGCGTACCATCGTCTCCAGTTTGATCAATGCTAGATTGAATGATGTTCAACGTCATTAGGTACGACGAGCTGCATCCGAGTGAGCAGGCTGACAGGATCGTTGCTCGTGAGGTCGCCCAGGTTATCAAAGGCCAAAAGAACCAGTGGACGACATGGCTTAGCTGAGGGCCGCGAGTATAATATCCTTCTGTGTCAGACTTTTCTGGCAAACATAGAACCCTTCTGCGCCTGAAAATGCTTCGTGCCCTTGAACAAAGATTGTTCAGAGTTGATTATCTTCCTCTCTGGGTCCACCAAACACGCCCGGAATGTTTTCAATCATTCAGGGAACTATGGTCCTTTTCATTGAAGCGGAACTTCATCCTGCTCCTGAGCAATCTTCCTCTACGCCGACAATGATTCCCTTTGCGCTGGTACGGGGAAGGTATGTTCGGAATATCCCCAAATCCATCGCACGGAGTGCTGCAGGATCCAGATTCGATGATAGAGGAGCGCTGAGAGCAAGTGCAACCTCCTTCATCGTAACCCTGACTTGTTGCAAACAATTAAGAGCAGCACCCGCAAGGACCGCGTCCAAAGCGTCGAATCCCCAACCCGCCAATTCACTTCTTGAAGGAGGGACCTGGAAGTCGCAACATATTTCCAAAATTTCGACCCTGCTCGGGGTGAATACGCCTTCAAGCAGCCGTGTTGAGCGTTCAATCGAGAGACGGTCCAACGATAGGCAAAAGGTAAGGCTTTTCAAGTGGGGCAGGCGTGGTAGAGGCTTGAGGTCGAGTGTATACAGGGGGTTAACGGTAGAGGATGGGCCTGTGAAATTAGGGGCATGAGGTTGACATTGGGCTCGTGCAAACGGCGAAACTCACCATGGTGGGGACTCGAAAGACAAGCCAAGGTCTCCAAGGTGCCGCTTGCTTCTTCAAGGATGCTCCAAATGTCGCTGTCGAGGTTCGGGAAGCGGTGCGTAACGCTGAGTTCTCGCAACCTGCTCTCGAGAGAGGGTATTTGAGTCTCCGGCGCCGAAGTGTCCTGGTCCAAGTTATGGGATAATACTGACATGCCGGATAATGACACTTTCGGGACCTGTACGAAGGACAACAGTTCTTGTTTTGAGACACTCATGTAGAGGAGCTCGAGATGGTGAAGTGTTGCTATATGGCAGTAGCGGAGAAGGACGCTACGAAGCCCCTTGTCGAGAGTTGTCCAATCCGCGAGGAACGACGAGACGATTGCGAGACGTTGAAGACCGCGGTTGTCGACCTTCTCGAGGAGCTGGGATAGGAGCTTCGTCGCGCTTGACCAGGTTGAATTCAAGGGTGACGGCTTTGCCGATGGACGTCTTTGTATGCGCACCACGCGAATCGTGGATAATATATTGGCGTTTTGAACGAGGAAGGGAATCAATTCTGAAAAGTGGGGGTTGTCGATGGAAGAGCCGTTTGGTTGTATCGAAAGAGTGACTTTCTGGAAGAGGTGGCGTCGTGAAAGATGGAGGAAGGCATGAGAGGCTAAGGAACAGCTTTTCAGGCTTTCCCTCGAGGTCAAGCTAACCTCATCGCAGATACGTTTGAGTATCTCGAACGGGAGGCAGCTGGGGTTCGAGGGGTTCATGCTCCTTGCTCTGTAGAGGAAAAGGGTGAAGAGAAGAGACAACACAGCACGGGCGTCAGTCTAGTTGTAAACCACAGACCCATCACAAATTTACGGCAAACTTCCGGCTGTCCAAGATTTTCCACACTCGCCGTATTGTGGGCTCATCATTTCCATCGCAATCGACGTAGGAACGCAGCGAATATACACCTGCAAAGTCGCGTGAATTGGCGTAACATGCGATGCTACATTGCTCTTCAAGACCCTATCCTCGCTCAGCGAAAGAAAAGCCTCTTCCACAAGCTCTTCCTGGTCTTGCCTTTCACCGCAGCGGCTTCTCCGCCAGGTGGCGTCGCTGAGGCGGCTGCCAGAGCGTGTCGACGTTTATATTCGGCTGGGGTCTCATCGACCTTGCCACTCTTCCACATGCCTCGACATGCACGCCTGGGATAAGCGAAGTCAGGCGTCAGTCAGACGATAAGATCCAATGGGCTCACTTGGCCTCAAGTTGGAGCCGCATATATCCATCCTTTCCTGATTCTCCGTACTCAGCACCAGCCTGTCGGAAAGTGGTTAGCGTAGCGTGGTGTGAAGGCGACATGAGAACTTGCCTGTTCGTACGTTACGGCACACCCGGCTTTCAGCATTTCTTCCGCTAGATTCTTCCCAAGGAAAAGAAATCCAGGGAGGATGCGTGGCGGAAGATGGACATGGCAGACCTACAGGCGCAACGTTAGTCAGATACAGGACGGCATTATATTCAGGACGCACGACGCGCGAGTATTGATCTGCACGTAAGAGTTGACAATAAACTTTCTTCCCGAGGATGCGGTCTTGAAGCCACTGCAAGGTCTCAGCCGAGTAGGGTTGTGCAGGTTTTCCCCAGTGTGATGCCTTCGTGTGCTAATCAGTCTCTCGTAGAGCGAACTTGAGGAGATAGAAGAGCACCTCTGGAGCATCTACACCGGCTATTCGGATATGCAGAGTATCCTCCCTAAGGTCTATGCTCGTTGTGGTCAATGGAGCAGGGAGCTAGCCAGGCTCAGCAAGACATTGCACCTTTTCCCGTGGGTATCTCCCGAAAATTGAACGGCCAGGTATAACCTCCTAACGTAGGCGTATGGAACAGCCTGAAGTTGTCTCCATCCCTAACACTTCGGAACAACCATAGTATTAGACAACGCATGAAATATCCTCAGACATAGCTCAACGCACTTGGTCACCACTCCCTTTATCCAGCGTCGTTTCTCAAAAAGTCTTGGGGTGAGCCACTCAGCGCTGCGAATCCTGCGTCCGTAACGCGTGTATATGCGTCTTGAGATTAGCGTCGCCCCAACACCGAGTGCTATTGCCATTCCACCTGCCGCCTCAGGTGGTAAAGTATTCCATTGTTCTTTGATCCTCAAAACGAGTCGTTCGTACTCTCCCTTTGGCGCGTTCTTGTCAGTTCCTGAGAATGGCCAAGGTATTTGAGGCATATTTCTGAATTTGTTGACAACTCCAGGTCCTCGAGGCAGAGGGTAGGCACGATACTAGTTCACGTTGCAGTTGCAGTTCAAGCGGCCATGATAATGAAATGTTGGTTGAAAAAAGGATATATATTCCCACGTTAGATTACGATCGGACTTAGAGTCGACGTCCTTGCTTTGACTGTACTCTCAAGCACACTCTAGCCAAACATCCTCGACGATTTCCTGTAAGTTGGAGTACATCGCCATCTGTCTCTGACTCTTGACCGTCCTCCTTTCAGTCGCGTCATACAGATCGTGCACCTGTTATCTGATAACTTTCGGATCTAAATGTCAACGCCGGAGACGGAGGAAGAACCACGCGAGCTGCTCATTCTTTACGCCACGGAGACAGGAAACGCGCAAGATGCGGCAGACTACATTGCACGGCAATGCAGAAGGATAGATTTTGACTGCCATGTCGCCAGCATCGAGCAATGTTCTTTTGTAAGTTGTTTCGGCCAAAAGCCCGTCTGCTCGAGCCTGCGCTCATCAGAACGTTTTCGGGCAGACAGATCTACTGGCGCAAGAACTTGTGCTCTTTGTTATATCCACTACTGGATCTGGCGTTGAACCTCGCTCCATGACTACCTTCTGGAACAACCTCCTCCGCTCCGACCTTCCACCAAATGCCTTCGAAGACCTGTATTATTCTGTATTTGGCCTGGGTGACTCTGCATACGAGAAATTCTGCTGGGCAGCTAAGAAACTCTCTCGGCGGATGGAGTCTCTGGGTGGTGTACAGATTCAGGAGCGCGGAGAGGGAGACGAGCAGCATCCACTAGGGTATGTCGTACCCATCTTCCTATTTCTGCGCCACTGAACAAGAGTGGATCAGAATAGACGGTGCACTCAAGCCTTGGACGGATGAAGTTATCGAAGCGCTTCTAGAGATGTTTCCTTTACCTCGTGACATAGAGATGATCCCTGTGAGCGACATACCGCCAGCCCGCGTTCAATTAAACCCCGCCTCGCAAGAAACATTCGAGAAAGCGCAAGAACCTCTCAAGACCGATTTGACTTACCACACAGCCACCGTAAAAGCCAACACCCGGATGACAGCCTCGGATTGGAATCAAGATGTGCGACGCTTCGAGTTTTCTTTTGAGGAAGACATCAGGTAAGCGACTGTCTTCTGTCTGTAGTCATTTCTGACGTCCCTTCAGCTATTCTCCAGGAGATGTTGCCGTTATACACCCTTCGATGTCGACTAAAGATATAGACGGATTCTTGGCAACTATGGAATGGGACGAAGAGGCGGATGAGCCGTTCGAGATTGAGCAGATAATGTTCGGTCTGTCTGTTGTTGCTCATTCCACGCCGCTTTCTCATCGCGCACGCAGATCAGACGCTGTCCGATCATCTCCCTCATACCACGACTCTGCGAGAGCTCTTCACCCGTTTCCTGGACTTCAACGCCGTTCCTCGTCGGACCTTCTTCCAGTATCTCCGGTATTTCACAGATGATGACCTGGAGAAAGAAAAGTTGGATGAGTTCCTCTCTCCCGAAGGCGCTGTTGGTCTTCCATTATTTTTTATACGCACCAATATTCAACTATATCGACAGGACGAGCTATACGAATACTGCTATCGCGTTCGCCGGACTATCTGGGAGGTTTTGACCGAGTTTAGACACGTAGCGATTCCACGAGATTATATCTTCGACGTATTTCCTCCGCTAAGGCCGCGAGAGTTTTCCATTGCAAGTTCAATAAAAGTGAGCAGTCTGTTCAATTCTCTCTTGTACGTCCTGTTCATACTTGCCAAGAAACACCCTCGGGAGATACATCTCTGTGTGGCCATCGTCAAGTATCGGACAAAGTTGAAGATTCCACGGAAAGGTGTTTGTACTACCTTCCTCTCGACTCTCAACCCAGGTGCGTTCCATTGTATCCATGCGTTACATATGCATTGACTCCTCGAAGGCGACACCCTGCAGATAGGGCTCAAGAAAGGAATGATTGAGCTTCCTCCCAAAGCCAAGACGCCAGTTATTTGCGTCGGCCCAGGGACGGGAATCGCCCCAATGAGGGCCGTGATTGAAGAACGAATAGAGAGCGGTGCGCTTTGTACGCTATCTTGTAATATCAACCCTGGCTCTCGCTCATCTTCATGTTAGCGAATACACTCTACTTTGGCTGCCGTTCTACCTCAAAGGACCACCACTTCGGCGAGGAGTGGAAGAAGTACGCCGAAGAAAAAGGATTGGTATACCGGGCGGCCTTCTCTCGTGACGGAAAAGAAGGGGAGAAGAGGGTGTATGTCCAGGACTTGATACGAGAGGACGCGGAGAGAATATGGAAGCTCGTCGGGGAGCAAGAGGGCTGGGTGTTCATCTCAGGGTGAGTTTCTCATCGTTTGGCTACTCTGTTGCTAAGTTGAGACGATATAGGTCGTCCAACAAGATGCCCGCTGCGGTGAAGGAGTCGATTGTTTTTGCAGTTCAGAAGTATGGGGAGTACTCGGAGGAGCTGGCGAAGCAGTACGTCCACGATATGGTGCGGGAAGGGAGGCTGATAGAGGAATGCTGGAGCTGATCAAATCTTGCGGTGGCTTTCATATTCCACTCACTCGACAATTAGACGAATTGTCGTGAAATACGCTAAAGGAGGGTAGTTAGTGGCACGTACTCCAGCTCACAATGCGCTGCGCAAACACTAGCTAAATGGAAGAGGCTTTCGGCACCAATTTCCACTTGAGGGAACCAGCACTCTCAGTCAGATGCTTCAATCTTTTGAACGGAGCAGTTCTATGTCCAACAAAATTATAACCAAACCGTCCACTGGGTCCCTTGTCCGTTGATGACCTGCGCCACTTCTCAAGTAAGATTCTAGAGGCTTGCTCACTCGGATGTGGCTCGCCGTACCTCCGATCGTTTAGGGACATTGAGCTGAAAAATCCCTTGAATTTAGTGGGACCTCACGCCCGTAACTGTCTTACAGATCAAATGTTTGCATCCTAAATTGGGGATGTAACTTCCATTTCAGGCTACCCATATGTAGGAGCACGAGAAAATGGTCAGGTACAACATTCCCAAAGGCAGACATCTTCGTACTAGTTCGCTCGTGTGTACCACTCGTACCTGACTTCCTCGAAACAATAAATAAAGCAGCAAATTGAGATTAAACGTCCTGGTAATATGACTAGAAGAATGAAGTAAGAACCTGTCGAGAATGGAGCATCAATAAAATGTATATACTGTATGTACATAGCTCCGGAACTCTCAGACTTGCTCCCACAAAAGGCGTCCGAGAGGAATTCATGCTATGTATTCGGCAACCCCGTCGCCGAAGAGAGGATATCTATAGAGGCGTCAGTAGCTACTCTCTATATTTCTAGAACGATACGTACAAAATATCGTAGATTGCAAAGTATTTAAGTAACAACGCAGTAAAAGTTAGATCCGGAAGCCTTCTTCTCAGCGTCACTCAGGCCGATGCTCGAGTCCTGTTCTCCGGGGGTGATGTTCTCGGAGAAGAATATAGGTTGAAGAGTATTGGATGCGGTAGTTGCAGTGAGGATGAAGGAGTCCATAGTTTGAGGCGGAGGAGGCGGATGGGTTGTTTGGAGGGAGTGTTGGGGGTTCGCTGACGTTGGAGGGAGGATATTGTGGGGTTCGCTTTGGCCGGCCTGGTCTCCATGGAATTGGCTTTTATACCTGCTCTGGGTCGCTTTCGGCCATGACGTACCGCGGTAGGACAAAAACCACACAGAACAATCAGATAGACTTAGAAGGCAACGCCGAGCGCAGTCGGTGCGCCGCAGTGAGTGAGGCTGTGTCAAGTGGTCTGTCCGAAAGAGGAATATACCTTCTTGAAGCTCGAATCACAAAAGAGGCTGCAATGCGTCAGTTCGCCCACAAACTGTCAGTATTCCTCTTTAATGTCCCCCCCAAGTTCCCGCTCGCGATTAGAGTGTTGCCCGGAGGATGTTAACGCAGTGCCATACACCACCTTGCTTGCAGGGTGGTATGGCAGTTAATTGTCTTCTCGGGGAAAATGGCGTTCGCGGCCGACAGGAAACTTTGGAATAATTGGGCGAGGCGCTTCGAATTCCGTTGCTTTTGTTCTATGACCGGATTTTATCTGCACGAGGCGTTGAAGGAGGCACGCATGTGTTGGAATTCTTGGACGAGGTACTGGTGAGGGGTTGAGATTCCGTAGAACACGGCTGTGTCGCTGGAAACCGGCATCCAGGCGGCAAGAAATATTTCGTGACGACTGCAAGAGACCGCATGTGCCCATATGAAGAGTCTGCATCGCATTCAGCCCAAGAAATACAGGCAGACCTAGTTATTGAGACGTAGAACCTTGATAGCTACCTCTCTTTTCAACGAAGCCAACTCGTGTTTACTCAACGCGGTGCGCAAGGAGTTCAGCCACGCAGTGCCATCGGGTGGATACGCCTGAAGATATCACCGACAAGCAGACATCATCAGTGTATGCCAGGATTTGGCTGAACAAGACAGACTCGCTTTCGGATAGTCGGTCGAATACATGATACGATCAAGGCCTATCTCGCCCGTGTGGAACTTAAGAAGGCTTGTGGAGAAGTCGCTTGAGGTGGTTTTGTACATGTTTGTCTTGAAGTAGGTTGTTATGTTTTCCTTCATGGCTGTCTTTGTGTGGCTGAATTCTAGAGGAGATGGTCTAACAAGAAGCTCAGTCGTAGGACTTGCAGGAGACATACCTGTGTCAATGCGGTAGAGGTCAGATGGTATCCTCTCTCCCATATGACCGACGATAAGTCTCACGTCAGGGAAGCGGCTGGAGAAAAGAAGGTTAGAAACACCCTCCTGACGAGCAAATTTGCGTTGTACTTACTCGAAAATGCCATTCACGCAGAGTCTGGATGAAGGTAAGCAAATAGAAGGATAGAAAGAGACGTTGTTCCGAACCCAAGAACATGAGCAGCTGCACCGGCTGAAAATCCTTGAGGGGCGCCTCTCAGGAAGGGCGCATGGGCGTATAGTAAATCGAGGATAGGTTGGGCATCTAGCCGGGTATGAAGATATACTGGAACGTCTAAATCCGAAACCATCTTCCAGAAAACGTCGTATTCCGGCTGGTCATAGTAGAGGAATGTTTCTAATGCAACCAATATTCAGATTTGTCGTCTGTGGACAAAACAAGCGCCTTACGTCCATCTGGCCCGGACTGCTGGTAGCCGTGGATCATGGCTCCGAGAAGTCCGAGCTCCTTCACAGCTCGTTTAAGCTCTAGAGCAGCGAAGGAGGCGTTGTGCATAGCCAAAGAGGCAAATCCTCCGAACCGTTCGGTGTTGTTCGAGATTGAGGCTGCGAGCTGATTGTTGACGTATACAGACGTGTTCGCCGCGGTGACAGGATCGGTTATGCCCTGGATGCATGGTGAATTGCATCCTAAGACCATCTGCGAGTATCGAGTGATAAAAGCCTCATTTGAGTGGGTGAGGTAATTACACTCACGAAGTCAATCTGGTTGGCATCCATCATATCTAGACGTTGGTTGTGGACGTCGAGAAGATTTGACACCAGCTCGGCATGTGTGCCACCTACAAAATCAGAAGCTAAGCAAAGCCAAAGCTTCTAGAGAATATTGAGCGCACCGGGAAAGGGAGAAACAACCACAGGACTTTTAATAAGGGTAAGAAAACCACTATTGGTTTAAAACATATAGAGAACATACGAAATCTGATAAAGGAGTTCAGGAACTGTCCATTCCTCTCCTACAACGATGGATCCTGTCCCGTTGTACCTCCACTTCGCAGCGGCAAGAGCCAATGGAACAGTCGAAAGGGATGCCACAAAACTGAAATACGCGGAGACAAGCACCATGACTTGTTCTTTCTAATGGCGCTAGACAGAGAGCCTTTATATACCGCTGAGTCGGCCAGGCCACCTAAGACGAACGTAAAACTGGCTTGGATCCCGCTTGCGTCGTAAACGAAGCCACCCTAGCTGCAAACCTTGCAGATATTGCGGGTAGATAACGCCATAAAAAGAGTAATCCAGAGCTTATAGACGTTGCAAGGTAGTTTATTCGCGGACATGACATGCAGGCTGAGAGCGATGGGGTGATTGGGTTGGAAAGAAAGACGGAGGGGGCGGTCCGCAAGCAGCTGAGATCGTCACGCCATGTGTGTGACTATGTGACAAACTCGTCTACAGCAAACCCTCGAGACGCGAAACGATGGACGGACCGAAAGGCGCCAAGTAAGTCCCTGACGCGATATCCTCCCCTATGCAGCGCCATCTGACCAATTACAAACCAATTTAGGAAGAGGAAACTCCTCGACAAGTCCATCCCAAATGTTATCCTACAAAACCCCGAGTTCGCGCAGGATTCGAAGATGTACCAGGACTTACTCGAGATGGAGCGGAAGCTCGACTGGACAATGATGAGAAAGAGGGCTGAGGTGCAAGATGCGCTCGGGAGGACACCAACTGTGAGCAGTAAACTTGGTGTCATGCCTTGTTGAACTGTTGGTTAACGATGCATGGATTCGCAGACAATACGCACATTGCGAATATTCCTCAGCCACACGGTGTCAGGTCAGCTGTGGCAGACTGGGGGCGACATTGGGACCATCGCGAACTTTGAGACTGGTGAGGGTATCCCTGCGTGGTCGTTCAAGATCGAGGGTCGGTTACTAGAGGTCTGGCTCGTCGATTTATTTGTCCTCTCCCGTCAGTGTTGACTTTATTACACAGGTGCCCAATCAAAGAAACAGGGACAAGACACCGCAGAGGAAGTTTTCAACTTTGATAAAGAGGATGGTTGTTGAGCTAGACCGGGATCCAACGTTGTACAACGACGGAAACATCGTCGAGGTGCGTCTGACCTTGTCTTGCTCACCTTCATGTTGCTGATTCGCTGCTTTAGTGGCCACGAGCGCCTGGACACCATAACCCAGCCCTTGATGGCTTCACGATACGACGGACAGGCGACACGCCCACAAAAATACGTATCGTTATGTACTTGGAACATTTCCCTGAGCAGTACAAGGTTCTTCCTGAACTAAGTACGTTCCAGGACCAATGTGTTTTGAATTGAAGCTGAGGGAAGCATAGGCAGTATATTGGGAATCAAAGAAGACAGTCGACTTGGCGTCATCCAGACGTTGTGGAACTACATCAAGCTACAGGGCCTTCAAGACAAGGTCGATCGTCGACTCATTCGTGCGGACGAGAGGCTCAGGCCGGTACGTTCTTATCCTTTTCTACGTAAACACCGGTCTTATGAGACGTTCCTAGCTCTTCGGAGGAGATTCGATTAGCTTCCAAAAACTGCCTGAAATCGTGAATCGATATCTTACTGCCCCGGACCCCATCATCCTACATTATAACCTGAACCCCGCTGTCCCACCACCTGATCGGGCTTCTGCATGGGACGTGGAACTCAAGATGGAGGACACGGCACTCAAGACCCGCATGGCCGTCACTGTAAGCGCGAGCAAGGAATCGGCGCAGACAATGCTTAAGCTCGACGAGGAGGTGCGTCGGTTTCCCTCTTCCTTTGCAAGCGTGCGCACACGGGTAGATTTTGACTCCCGACTTCTTTGTGCTTGGTACAGATCGCCCTCCTTGCCCAATCGCTGCATAATTCGCACATGAAGCACACCTTCCTCGAGTCGTTTGCCGAGGACCCCGCGCGCTTCATCCAGACGTGGCTGGAGTCCCAGTCGCGCGACCTCGAGAGCATCCTCGGCAGTGGGCCGACGGAGGGTGCAACGGTTCGCCAAGAGGAGCTCAAACGCAGCGAGTTCTTCCAACTCCCTTGGGTGGAGGAGGTACATGCTTTTTTCCTCCCTCTATCTCTCTTTCTGCGGGGCTGACCTGGAGGCTTGTAGGCTGTCGCCATTCAAGAAGGAGTTCGCTTGGCAGCGAAGACTGCCACTTGAACTTGAGAGTTCGTTTTTGGTGTATTCGCTGAGCTATTCTGCTGTCCTTCCTTGTTGTATGTTTCTCCTTTTTATTGTAATCACAGTTCTCTTTCTACCTCGCCGTACTCGCGAGCGCAATAGTGATCGTTTTGTGGTTCTTGATGTCGATGTATTCGAAAATCTGTTGAATTGCTCTACTCTAGCCCGGTATCCCTTGACGCTCCTAAGCCCTAGCACCTATAGAAGGCTACGGTGTTAGGCATTTGCTTCCTTTTTCTCATTCTAATTGAAGTCGTCTCATTACAGGTTCGACCTTATCCTGGGCGTGGTCCAAGGAGTGAATAATTAAGGTCTTCTATGTCATGTATAACTTATCCTCCGCCTAACCGCAGCCTGACCAAAGCTCATGGCTTCTGTTCCGCGTAGGTCGTGACGTTCGTCGTCAGGTGGAAGCTTTCCGGGACCGGGATAGTCGACTCCGTTTCGTTTCGTGAAGCTTGCGAAGGCGCATTATGCCCTGTGGCGAAGTTTACCGTGATGGCAGTGTCGCTATGTTTCTCGCGCAGGGAATCGCGCGAGTTCAGACTTACAAGGAGACGGCGATTTCTTTAGCTGTGCGTTATTGCCTCGGGGGTCAAGAGGACTTACAATGCGAGCATCGAGTTGATATATAACTTCGCGAGCGGTAGAACGAGGATGAGGTCCCAGGATGTGCTTCCATGGGCTGTGGCCAGAATCAGCGAGATCATGGTGACCAGGCTATATACGTCTTCGGGTCAGTTAGAAGACTCGGGGATTGGGCGAAAGGGTGCAGTGGAGACGCACGTCGTTACAGCCCCAGAATAAATGGTAAATGAGATGAGCCGACGGATGAGGTTCTCCGTCCTGTACGTATGATATTGCGTTTAGAACGAAAAAGAGCCAGCGGGGCTAGGGCAACGCACTGCTTCATCTTAGCTACCAGCCGGTGCTTCATGAGCAGGAGTGTCATGCTGCAGGTGATGAGGACGTCGTTGCCCAGATTGAACGCGAAGGTCATGATCGTCATGTACTGGAGAAGGTCATTGAATTACCCTGACCTCGCGAAGGACGAATAATCTTACCTTAACCTTCTTAAAGTAGACGTAGGTGCCATGCTTGAATAGCAACACAGTTTCAACTGGTTGGGGCAGTTAGATTGAAGTTGTCTGAGATGATAGCGTATGGATTTACTGGTGTAGATGATCAGAGTCGTCAAGCTCAAAACGAACTATTGTTTATGTTAGCTCTGACTTCACGGCGGAATGAGATGATTTACAATGACAGCGGAAAGCCACCACAGTTTCTTCCCGCTGACTGCCAAAAGCAAATAAATTAAAAACGGTCGGGCCTGGCTGCGACATCTAGGAGGGTGAGACGAGACTTACGCTTGTAGAGACGGTAGGCATAGAAAGTTTGGACTGTAAATGCGATGAATTCCGAGACCCATACTGCCCACTTCACGAGAATCAGCTCTTGGTTGGAATATACAAAAGGACCTCTGCACATTTGCCGTCCATGAAGGAACAAGAAGCGCAGAGACATTGCAATAGTTGTCGACGATCGTGTACCATGCCGAGTGCATGACCATCCCTTGATTTAATGTATCCAGAAGTCTGGAGGCAGTAGGTGGGGCTGGAAATGGTATTTCTGAAGTTCGGATGTCGTAGAGGTGCTCACGTTACGAACAAAACCTAGAGGAAGTCGTAAGACAAATGTCAAAACTAGGGACAGAACCGCACCAAGCAATAAATATAAACTTCATCGCGTCCCCAGTATCTCGAGAAATAGTGGTACGCTTGGAGGACCGTTAAACCGTATAATCTAGAGGATAAAGAAGGATCAGCGAGGTTTGAGCGATAACTTCGAGAGTGCCCACATCGCAGCGAAGTACGATCCAATCAACGAAGCTCCAAGACTTGAATCCAGCTTGGTCGACATGAGCAATGAAAGAGGGAAAAGGGAAGCATTGACTTCGTGAGTTATATATATGCTGAACCCTGCGGCCTGACATGTCTTTGGATTAATCTGGCCCTGGCCCTGCGCGCCAACTTGTAACGGGGCATCGCCAAGACACCGCTTGGTCAACTTGGTGGGCGACCCTTGGCAGGTGGAACCATGCTTGAAATAGAAAGATCTTTGCGGTCCAGGCGTTGTTCGTGCGATGGTCAAATGGAAGGCGATGTGAGGTCTCGGAGGAGAAATATCCAGCGCTATCTTGGGTTCTTGGAGATACGTAGAGTCATCTCATCTCTGAGGCTGTATCGCCTTCCGGAAACCTGAGGTGATGATGGCCTAAATCGTCCGTCCGTCATGAATGGAACAATAGATGCATAGAACTGTTCTTCAAGCGATAAAATGGTGCCCACAAGCATTCGTCCTTGAAGGCTCAAAGGCTTGTCCACAATTGTAGACTCCGTCGAAGCCCATTGTCGCAGACGAGCGCCTGATGGCTGATGAGCAGAATTCGAATACGAAGATTCCGTACACACCCAATGGTTGGATCTTCCATGTAACTAAGTTCGACATCCCAATAGTTTATGGACGTGGAAATTGTCAGGACATTTGACTATAGAGGGGTTGACTGAATGGCTCCCGGCACCTAACACAAGTCCGGAGGGAGGGTAAGGGCCCCCCCGCTTTTTCAGGAATCTGAAAAACGATGCCGCCGGGAAAGAAGGAACTGAATGTTGACGTGGATCAACGAGTGGATTCTCGGGGTCCTCCGGAGTCAATAAATAAAAACAAGGAGTTCTTTGGGTCCCTCACTCAATTAGGCTTGTGGGTGCCGTCACGGCTACCAACCTGAACCCTATCATCATGTTGGTTTCCCTGATCCAATGCCACACCTCTTGACCCTCGCCAGGTTACTGTTGTTGCCATATAGCAGCCAGCTATGACCTCTATCCAGGCGTCAATTGCGGCAATCGCCAGCCGTGAAGGCGTTAGAATCGTCCTGCCCCGAGCGTATCTGCTCTACAAATTCGGGATACTATTCTATAACTACTCAAATTCAACGCTAGCTGTCATGCGGGGTCTTCCCATCCCTGGACTTGTCTATGGCAACATGAAACAGATCATGGAAACTGTGAGCATACCATTTGACTGGCATTGACTAATGTCGTCTCTTGTACGAGAAATGGATGGCGGATTATGGATGTTGGAGTAAATTCCCTCACGTTTGACGAGAGTTTGCTTGAAGGCTGACGGACACGTCGACCAGATGAACGGCTTGATCTACCAGAACCCAGAAGTCACACGATACAATCTTGCCGAAATTCTCGGAAATGGCCTGTCAGTTGTTGAGGTGAGAAGCGCAGAGACCAAGGACGGATTTTCTCTCTCGGCCATGGATTAATCAGTTTCATTGTCCGAAAGCGAAGAATTATGGTAAATGACCGGAGAATGTGCTGTACTTTGGCCATGATTGACGAGCGCCCTAGAATCCTGCCTTTGGCGTTGCTCAAATCAGAGACCTGCCCGGGATTTTCGTCGAGAAGCCACTCGAGGTGTGTCGTCCAGTCTTTCCCTCGGCTTTCTCCAGTTTTTAAGGAGCCAGGGCCAGCTTTGAGATACCTGGGCGCTGGAAACATTCCAACAATGAGGATCATGCCGTCTGAATATATTCGAATCACTATCACGGCTGACCTTGGACATCATTGGACTAGCGTTTTAGTATGTCCCCTTCCCAACTCCATAACCTCTTATCATCTACCAATTTGCGACAGGCTTTAATTAGGAGTTTAAGGCGCTCACGATGGATCTAAAGACCAACGAGCTTCACGCGGCCATCTCTTCTCTCTTCCACTCTGGCGTACGAAGGAACATGATTCCCGTATCAAGGGGATGGTCGCAGCCCTACGGTTCCTGGTACGCTATCGATTCATAACGGACATGGCTTTGTCTCGGCATTGCGTTTACGCTTTTCATCCGACAAGCAGGGATGCGAGCAATGCAGCGGCAAACAGAAACATGAAACGGATTGACAAAGAGTCACGCTTCTAGACAAAATCAGGGCCGCGTTGCATGAGAAAGGTCCTCAGGCTGGGCAGGATGTGCTCTTGTTGCTTGTGAAGGCAAACACGACATACCCCCCAACTAGCGGATGACGCACCATGAGCTTAGGGACCGTAAGCAGCTTAAAAACTGCGTTAGTCGGTGTCTCTGATCTAGATTCTAGGGATCGAGACATTCATAGTTGTTGGTCGCGAAATGTCGAGGTATGAACTTCCTCCGAAACTGTGCGACTATCCTTTCTAATGAAACTGTATAGTGTAGCGACGACATGGTATCTGTTCGGCCTCCCAACCTGTGGTCAATGAATTCGGGAGGACGTTGGATAGTGTAAAGCCTTGAGCAGATCATGTCTAAACAATCGCCGATTCTTTCTTCTGTACAGGGTGAAGAGCAGACACTGTTAATCCCAATCCTTCCCGTGAATTGGGCTCGGTCGATAGGGTAAAGACCCCCATGAGTTCAAGTGTGTCCTCCCTTCACTCACTCTCCATTTCGTCCTTCAAAATGGCTTGACAGCCTCTTCTAAATGCAGACCCGAACGCTGGGCCGAAGTGCTCGATGCAGCGACAACCTGAGTCCCAATACGCTTCAGCCGTCCTTCTCAAGTTGCTGCTTCTTCTCCATACCAATGGGATTAGGGTTTCTTGAGTCTCTATCTGAGGTTCACAATGATAGTCATAGAGTGGTTTCCTGCTTGTAAGCGTGATGTCACAGGGAAGAGAAAAGGACTCGGAGGAGCCAGTAATTGACTCTGGGATCTCAATCTGAATTAAGTATATTTTATTCTCTAACAGCGTGAGAAAATCCCCTCTCCCAGCTGCAGCGGACTGTCTCAAGAATATCCCTAAATGATTCTCGGCAATACGCTAGATTTGGAGGGATATGAAAGTCAAGCTTCAAGAGTTGTGCCATCAACCCTGAGGCCTGAGGCCTGATGTGTCAGGATAGACTATAAATAGCATATTTGCGGGTTGAGTGGCGTACACTCGGCTAGATACGAGTATTTTGGGCTCAGGTATGGTCTTGGCACTGTTGGTTCCGCTCCGGAATTTTGTACCGGGGGTTCTTTCGTCTGACAACCCAATAGCGAATTGGTGATGCTGAATTTAGTCGAACCACATTTATTGGGAACATATACATGGAGGAGAATTTCCGATTCTTCACTGCTCTCTTGCCTCTGATGGTTGTGCACACTTATGCTTAGCGCCGGCCCGCTCTGTCTGCTGTCTCTATATACGCGAATCAACTCGATTCAAGAAAAGGAGCGCCCAATGTAGTTTAGAAATTTTAGGTCCACCAATTCATTCCATTCTTCAGGTGCCATCGCGCCACATGTTGGGTTAATTCATGCAGTCAGGGATATAGCACATGAATACCATGAATGTTAAGTTTCCCTTCTACATGAAGATCGGTTCCACAGCTTCCAAAACTGCCATTATGCCATTTCTGCTTCATAATAAAAATATGTTTGCTTACAGCAGTTCATGAAGATGATGCGCCAGTGGATAAGGCGAGGGGCCTGAACCGTCTGCACTACGACCAGCAGGTTATTTGATCACAGGAATTCTCGTCCGCTTGGACGGTCGTTTTTACCTGCCAGGGCTTAATATACTTCGACGCGGCCGCATGTTTGCTCTGCTGTATAACATTGTTTTAAAAAATTGATGCTCAGTCTGTACTATTCTTTCTCCCTTGAGTCCTTCATTTCCAGTCAGCTTTCGGGCACATGGCAGATGTGTTTGCTGCGGTATGGTACTGCCAACAGCCATCTCTGCTGAGGATGCTACTTGACTGCTTTGGGTTTTAAGCGACTGTATACCTGACCTTCGAGGACAGCTGTTGAATTTTATAAATACCGCACTTGTTGCACATACATTTGGTAGAAATGGTCAGATTTCGAAATATTTCGAAATGGGGCTTCCACAACGCTGTGTAAATCTCCTACGAACTCAATATGTCAAGGCTTCAACTTATAAATAGATCATTTTGCTGTAGCTGTCCAACTTTCCTCTACCAGCGCTTGCAGCTTTTCTCATGAGTCATCCCCGACGTGAAATTGAGCCACACGGGCGCTCCGCCGCGGCTCGTAGGAATAATCGTTTCATCACGTCACAGCGATTATCCCGACGGCGGCAGTGGATGAGTTTCCGACATAGTAAGCAAACAAAATTCTTTCAAAAACCTGCTTACTTCACGAAACAAATTGGTCTTTGAAAGTTCGCTTGACCTAGATTTTCGGCCAGAATAAGTAAGTAGGGGCCCCGTAAGAGGGATTTACCTCGCAAAACTAACGAGATGTGTTACCAAATTAGGCCAACAGTGATCGCGAGGTGGCTCGGCGGCCTCGGCAGCCATTTCATATCGTGCCATGTTCACTTCTTGTCGCGAAACTGCTTCACCACAACGACCACCGGATGGCCAGTAAACAAGTGCGTACCCTCCGGGCCCCTCACTCTACCTGAGGCTCACTGTAGCGCGTCACTTACAGCTTGGAAGACTGCGTCAGGTTAGCTTGCATCACCGCGCTTTGTCTAAATTATTAAAGACTTTAATGACTGATCACGCCACTTTTGTAACGGTACTTTCTAGTGGGCAGGAGAAGTGATATCCTCCCGCGAGAAGACGACGGTTAACGAAGAGTTTCAAGATCTAGAGAAAGATATTGAGCTGAGGAAGAGTGGGATTCAGAAGTACGTTCGCTATGGCTCTCAAACTGCCACCTTTGTCGTCATTCAACCCTGCACATCTGCACTTGGGTTGCTTGGACGGGCTCTAATATTTACCTCCAGGCTCCTGATTGTTTCTGAAGGATACCAACATGCATTGTCGAAGAAGAAGGCGAACGAAGCTCTGAAGGAGGGCGAGAAATTCCTTCCGATAGACACACTTGGAATCGCGATGATCTCCCATGGCGAAGAATTTGGGGAGGACTCCGCCTTTGGTGTGCATGATCCTTGGTTGACATCGCTAGCTTGGTTGACAAGTCATATCATTCTAGGAGACTCCTTGGTGAAAGTGGGACGAGCGCATTGCAAGATCGCGACTCTGCAGGAAGCATATGCTCTCACATTCAAAGACACCTTCATCGCATCCTTGGGGCGTTTTAGAGATGAAATCAAAGAGTACGAAGCCCTGAAGAAGAAGCTTGACGCAAGAAGGCATGTCCCAGTTGTGGCTCGACGTCCCGGACCAACCCCTAACCATTCATGTAGAGCTGCTTGCGATACCGCGGTCACCAAATTCGAGAAACTTCAGAATAGCAAAAAGGAGAAAGACAAGCGCGAGGCTGAAGACGAAATGGAGAAGTCCAAACAACGCTAGTACGCGATCGTATTCTATCTTCGCGACGTATCTGACTGGTCTGCAGCGAAGAGACCGAGGAAGATATGCGGGCACATATGCATGCAATCCAAGAGAACGAGCACCTACAGATGCATGAATTAAGGTCGTTTATTGACCTAGAAGCCAACTTTATTCAGTCCTATCTCGATATACTCAAAGACATCAAATCTGACTGGGAGGAACGGTATGGATCTTCGGATGCACAGATTTAAAGGTTTTTACGTTGCCCCGTAGGCCCAATCATCAGCCTAAGGCCAAGACCTTCCAAACTCCAACGAAATCCAAGGCTGCTCGACAGAAGCGAACCGACTCTTCCCCGTCCCCTGATTCGTCTGATGAGGGTGCGGGCAACAGTCATTCATTCCCTCGTAAACATTCAAGGACTGGATCCACTTCGAGCAGGCCTCCCTCACGTCCCTCTTCGAGATTATCAAGGAAACGTGCCAACAGTACAGCTGCGTCCACTGTGAATGACGACGACAAGGAGAAGGAGGAGAAGAAAGAAGGCGATAAGTCGCGAAGGCTCAGTGTCGCTGGCTGGGCGTCGAGTGCTGTCGAGTCCGTTACAGGCAGCAAAGGGAAGAAGAACAAAGACACCGACTCCTTTGCTACCTTGGACGACGACGACAAGCCTTCCACAGATGGGCACGTATCTGGAGACGGATCGCTGCGAAAATCTTCAAGCCTTCGCGCATTGGCTCGCCGAACATCCAGTAGAAAGAAGTCAAAGGAGAACCTACCTGCATCAGCAAACAACTCCCCCGTTCCTACAGGCAAGATCCTCAAACCGCCTTCGATGCAAGACAGGAAGCTCGTACGCGCACTGTACGACTTTTCTGGCTCATCAGATGAGCTGAGCTTCAAAGCTGGGAGTGAGATCGTTGTGGTGCAGGAGGTGCTTGATGACTGGTGGATGGGCGAGGTCAACGGGCAGAGAGGAATATTCCCCGCTTCGTACACGGAGGTCGTCGGGACCAGGCTTGCTGGTCCTCAGTGGCCGTACAAGGGCGACCAGTCGAACGTGCAACATAACAAGAACGGGAGTGCAGAAGACAAGGATAACGATACTTACCTGATGAGCGACGCCGACGACAACGACCTGACTGTCGCCCCGATGGCGATTAACCGCAGTCCCGTGTTTTATGGCGCTTTCAACGACGCGGCGAGTTTCACAGATAGTATGGCCGAGGCTGATTCCGACGCCGATCTTCCGCCTAAAAGGCACCAGTGGAAGGCGTTCTCGGACGACGACTGGTTCAACGACGGACGGACCACGCAGACTGCCTCGGCTCCCGGCCTCACCATCATCCCACCTCGCCCCAGTAACCGCGCCATCCTCGACTCGTTAGACTCGGCGCAACAGCCCCTTATCTCGCGGTCGCAGTCGGATAACCCGACGTCGTCTTCCACTAACTCTGGCAGTATACCCTCAAAGAAGATGCCACCTCCCCCACCGCCAAGACGCGCGATGAGCCACAACCCTACGATGACACCGCCTGCGATCCCTGCTAAGCGACTCCCGGGACAGGTTGCAACTGCACTTATTGCAGCACAGAGCACGACGACGAGCTTGAGCACTATGAGTGGTTTCTTCTCGAGCAGAGACACGCCCTCTGCTGGGAGCCTATCGGCCGCTTCTTCGATTAGCAGCCATGGACACAACGGACCGTCGCAAGGAGGTGGGTACAGTGGATATGACCGATCGCCATTTGAGAGTGCTGTTGAGCTGGAGCTCGAGGCGGGCGAAGGAGAGCGGATGGGAAGTGGGCGGTGCACGCAGTTCAGGCAGAACCCCTTCAAACCAAAGGGGATGTGCAGTAACTGCCTCGAGTTCCACACTTAATTGGGTGGTCCGACTCTGGGTATAAATTGGAATTGGTTGCCTCCGTTTCTTGGTTCTGGCACTTTTCGGTCCTGGATTTACGACAAGGTTAACGACGACTGTTCTTGGCTGTTCTTCAACGTCACACGATCTCATACACTCATATTCCGCTTATTTACTATAGTATTTTTTTCTGTATTTCTTAGTTGAACTGGAAGGTTGGTCTCATTAGTTATGGCCGTGTATATACAAAATTCTTGTCCCAGGTTAAGGAATTTGAAGTTTGAGACCGAAATACTGATGCAGTGCAAAACGTGGAGTCTATCTCTATTTCTACGCGAAGAAAGGGAAATGTAGCATACTCCGCTGCTTCAACGTCCGTAAAGCTAAAGAACATGAAGTGATGGAAAGAGGCTATGAGGATGTGAATGGGTCGCTCAAGACAACAGCTGCGTTCCTACAGCGCAACATTTGTCCCAAGTCGAGGTGGGCGATTCTTGCGACTCGGGATAAATTGATAACGTGCCGAAAATGTTTTTTTCAGAACTCCGTGCAGGACAGAAGGATGTTGTCGAGGACGTCCTTCATCTATAAATATATGTATCGATGAAATTAGCACATCAACAATGAAATGTCTCCTTGGGCATAGTATTGCCTGCATCACAGTTTCCGCGTCCCGGAAAACGGAGGAAGTTATGAGAATTCAACTTATGATCTACTACTTCCACAGCGTTTAATCGTTGAGACGAAGCACCTTGATGGCCAAGCCCCGCTTTAACGAGTTCAAATCCTCTTCATTCAGTGTCTTGTTCAGAGAATCGATCCACATGGTGCCATCGGGTATGTTCACCTAGCAAAGGGCGAAAGGTCAGATACAAGTATGGGAGAACTGGTGCAGGGTGGCACGCTCACGAATGGATAATCGATAGAATACATAATATGATCCAGACCGATTTCCCCTATGTGGAACTTCAAGAGGTCCGTGGCAAAGTTGCCGGATGTGGTTTCATAGATGTTCTTGCGGAAGTACATAGTCACATTCTGCTTCATAGGCATACCGAGTTCCAACTGGCGGAGAAGTTCTGAGTAGCGGCGTAATTGGCGAAAGGCAGTCAGCTTAATGAGTCTTGTCAGCTATTACAATGGAAGGCCCACGAGTGTCTATGCGGATGAGATCAGAAGGTATCCTCTCTCCCATATGACCCACGATGATCTTCAAATTAGGGAAGCGACTAGTAGGGCAATGGTGGAGATGAGTGCAGTGAGCTTCGCACAAAAAACGGAGCTTACTCAAAAACGCCGTTAACACACAGCCTAGTTCGCTATTAGTATTTGACGCTGAAACTAAAAGGCCCGAAAAAACCCCAGAATGTGAGTCGACAGGGTGGCAGCGAATTCTTGGGCCGGGCCTTTCAGGAAGGGGGCGTGAGCGTATTGGAAATCCAGGATCGGTGCAATGTCGGCTCGTGGGTGGAAGTATACAGGAACACCGAGATCAGAAACCATCTGCCAGAAAATGGCATACTCTGGCTGGTCATAATACAGAGGTGTTACTACATGACAAAAAAAAGGTCAGCATTTTTGGGAGAGTTCACTAAAGATGTATCCCGTACTCACGACTGTCAGAACCTGACTGCTGGTAATCGTTTACCAGCGCACCCAAGAAGCCGAGTTCTTCGACAGTGCGTTCGAGTTCCAAAGCTGCAGCTGTCGCATTTTGCATCGCGAGAGAAGCAAATGCTCCGAACCTTTCAGTGTTGTTGGATATCAAAGCGGCGAGCTGGTTGTTTACGGTGACAGACATCGCTGCAGCGGCCTCGGGGTCGGCAATACCTTGGATGCACGGTTGAGCGCAGGACAAAACCATCTGGACTCGCCGTGAGGTTAATTACTGCTCGTGGAGAGGACGATATAGAGTCACTCACGAAGTCAATGCTATTCGCATCCATGGCTGCTAGGCGCTGGTTATGAATGTCGAGGAGATTTGCTTTGAGTTCGGTATTGGTACCGCCTGGAGAAGAAATGAGGTACATTCTCCGTCACCGAGGATAAGCACGTTCACCAAGAGCAGCGGTGGTATTGCTTCGCAAATGGGTCATCTAAAGGATGAACAACAAAGATTTCAACATACCCAACTTGAAATATAAGCTAGGGTATCGTCCAAGCCTCCTCGAAGACGATTGTTCCCGTTCCACTATCCCTCCAGTGCCTTCCTTGAGCAGATAAGGCAAAATTGACGAGGTGTATGACAGTGGCAGCGGTAGCCCCTCGAAGAATCCTCATGGTGCGATGACTCGAGACATGCTCGTGCTCTGAAGCCTTTATGGCAATCCCAGTGGGAACGAGACGCTTCTTAGAAGACAGTCCAACCCTACGGCTCGACCGGCCATCGTCTAGGGTGCCAGAACCAGACGCTAAAAATGGCCGTTATTTAGAGCCACCTGACAGAAATTGCATGAATGGATTGAGCACTTACCCCAGCAAAGGATAGTGATCTTGAAATGCTCCTCGGGAATGTTGAACGATTGTGCACGGGAGCTATTAGCAGCATTTCGACGTCAGGTGTCGGAATCTGCACTTTCGGGTGGGTCTTTGTATTAAAACAATATTTTCGCGAATTTTCGTCATTCCAATATTCAACCACAAGCTACGAGCCCAAAATCCGGAAGCCTAGGGCCTAGGGAAGGCGAAAATCCGTGGCCAAACCTGGTCACGACAGGAAATCTATAGATGATGAATCGATGAAGGTTAGGACAGTCGGATTGCATTGAAAGGGGACATACTAACCTAACGTGGGTGTATTCTTGGAGTGAAGAAACTAAATGCGTGTGGTTTATGGGTTTCTAAGTAGTGTAAGGTTCAGTCCTGTTCAACAATTGCCGAGATCCATGCGTGGGAAATTTTATTCGTTTATGACCATGGAGCAGCTTCCCTGTACACCTCCACCGCCGACACGGCGGCGACTTTCTACTGACAGTCAAAAGAGACAATTGTAAGCTCCTAGCACCTTCTTGAGACCTGTACTCAATGTGTAGAACCCTAGCTGGACGCGATGGCTTCGGAAATGCACTACCTGCGTGCAATCATACCTTCCCTACCCACAGAAATTGCCGCCAAAATTCGTTCTCTATGCGTCACTGCAGCCAACGAATCCTTGCTGGAGAACCTTGTTCGGTTTCTGGCGGGAGCTGGGCACGCGTCGGACGCGTCGGTTGGGATCCAGGAGCAGTGGTCGGAGAAGCAGGCCACAACACGAACAGTCCTTGCAGGACTGAGGCCGACTACGAAACGAGGTCGTGAAGAAGGAGGGGATACCGATTCACAGCAGTCGAAGCGACAGCGTTTGTCGCCTGCCACAGCTCCAACTAATAATGGACCGCCTATCTTTACGCTTCACGCTATCTCTGCCACCTCTCCGGTCCGCAAGAAGGTCGATATCACGATTCACGAGAATTTAATTGCATTGACCAATCCAACTTCTCGAGCTCTCGAAGCCTCCGTTCCTCTTTCCTCTATTCGACGAGCATTCATTGTACCCACACGAGGAAAATCCAAACCGCATTGGACAGTCATCCTTTTGTCATCCGACGTTCCAGACAAAGGCAAGCCTACGCCGGGATTCTCATCGGAGAACCTCCAGATTATCTTCGGTCTGGATGCGACAAGTGCATCTACCTTCAACACTACCACCTACGCCGCCGGCGAGCCCTCCGCACATACACAACCTAAAGGCACCTCCACCCTGCTATCCATCAAACAATTTCTCTCCCACCTTCCAATACCCACCATCGAGCCCTCAACTGACGTCTTCAAGAGCGCATGCACGGGCTCCGGCTCGAGTGCAGGTGTGAACGGGATCCCAGGCGTTGAGGCTTACCGCGCAGCAAAAGCAGGCAATTTATGGTTCAGCGCACAAGGCATCCTCTGGGGCGAGAGCAAGCCATGCGAGTTCTGGGCGGTGGGCGACCTCCTGGGGAAGATGGATGGTGTACGCATCGCGGGTGCCGGACGGTCGTTCACAGTTATCCTCACGAGAAGGAGCACTGAGGGTGAGGACGAGGAGGAGTCGGAATTCGGGATGGTTGATGGAAGAGAGCGGGAGGGAGTGAACGAGTGGGTGCGGAATCACTGGCACTTGTTTGGGCGGACAGGCAGTGAGGAGGAAGGCGTGTCGAAGCCGAAGCCGAAGGTGCAGAACTTGGGCCCGATGACGATCCGGACCCTCCAGGACGAGTCGGACGACGAGGATGAGGACTTCGAGACTGACGTGTCGTCTTTGGACGGCTCGGAAGCTCTTAGCAGCAACGAAAACTCGACTTCTGATGAAGGTGGGAGTGACGAGGAGGACGATAATAATGGCAATGATGGGGTGAAGACGGAAGGTGAGTTAGATGGTGGTGACGACGCTGTAGAGGAAGATGAAGTGCAGGAACTAGATCCAGCCAAGCATCCACTTCTACGCCCTGGAGCTGTGCCGAAGATGTCTAAGGCTGCTCTCGAGATGGCGGTTGGCATTATCGAGGAAGATTTCGCCATGGGTGATAGTCCAGACGAACATGACGAACTCGAAGAGGAGGATGAGCTCGATGACTGATAAAATGAATCGTAATGCCGTCGCCTATGTCTCTGTATTTCACATTCGCTCTGTATCGCTGAAATGTCTCCGTAGAGTAGATTACTACGCATAATCCAAAATTGGAAGTTTTCTCCATTTACGGTGTCGCTGAGCCAAGGATGAGATCATAACGAAGTTATTCTACTGTCATTGGAATAATCTATCTCTTCTTTCACACAAAATCTGAAACTGTAGAAAATAAAATACTGCCTCCACGCAACAGTCGCACGAAGCCAGCCACCACCCGGTGCCCGCACGCGATGGATGTCGTTAACTTGAATTTGGGTCAAAATCTTTGGAACTTTCCTTCACTAGCACCTTCTGTTGGACTTAAAAGCTTAAGTTCTAAAGTGCTTTGTCAGATCTTCATCTTTCACTGCAATGCACATAGTTTCGAGACCTATTATTAGCCATTCTCCTTAATAGCATTCCGTATTAGGTCGGACCTTTCGGTAATTGATATCATGCTTCTATAGCACCGCCCATGCGTGATCCTTCCTAAGTCTTTCGTAATTCTCTGCCAAAAATGCTTACTATTCCGATCATTTACCCCAGAACGAGCGCCTGGAGTTTCAGGAGTTGCTTCTATCAGATGGGCCTCCGACTCTCTTTTTGTGGGCGCGCTCCTCAAGGATTCGAGCTGTACAGGATATCAGTCACAAAACCGCAGGCCGAATGCTGCACATACGTTCTGAGAGTTAAAAATGTTCGAGTAGTTAGGGAGAGGACTGAAGTTTGTCCGCGTAACCCGTCTGGCACTGATTGATTTCCGGCGCTTAGACGGGGTCCAGTCGGTTATGTATGTGCGCAAGGACGAGCTCATTATCTAGCTCATTCCAAATACGTTTGCTAATAAGTATCCAAATAAACAATTGAACCGGTCCTGTTCATTAACACGGAAATGATACAACAATGAGTATACTGCAGAAGATGGATGAAATTTTGAAAATAGGTCAAACCCTGAAAGGTAAACCTTCAATTTCGAGGCACGAATTTGAAATTCGCGGTGCAGGATTCAACGTTTGCTGCCATACGTGGATAGCATAGTTCCTATTGTTGAGGACAATGATGTCAGATAGATCTATAACATCTGACTGCTTGCACTGTGCAGACGGACTATACATCATATTCCACTGCCTCGTGAGGTAAAAACGCTTATTGGAGGATGTCTCGGTTGCTCCATGGGATAGTCCAAATACAAAATATGTGGTCGAGCAATAATGTTGAATTCCCTTCTGACGAAAGGAGAGGCTCTGAAGCGGGCTTCAAGGCCAGAGTGAGTCCTACGGCGTCCCTCCGTAAGGCGACTGACTAAATTCTGTTTTGAGAGAATCTGGCTAGCTGGAAAGTTATAAAATACGGCTGCTGAGAGCTAGAAAGTCATAACCCTGCATTCTATTCTACTACCAACGAATCTCTCAATATGAAGTTCTTCTCCATCACCGCCAACTTTGTGGCTATCGCTGCCCTCGTTGTCGTCGCTAACGCCAGCCCCGCTCCGGTACGTGCAATTTTTTTTATCTCTTGTCGCCCAACTTATAGGGGATACCCAGGATGCTCCGGCCAGCTTCCTCTGGAGTGACGCTGAGTTTGATCACTGGCTTGCCACCACCGACGCCAACATCACCTACGTAGGCGAGCCTTACAACCCGCTCGAAGAAAGGGCAATTTTGGCTACCCGTGTCACCTACTGTAGCCGCAGGATCCACAAAGTCTGTGGTGGCTCCTGCACCGTCTACCGCGGGGGTGCCAAGTGCCTCAATGCACCTAGGACTGATTGCCTCGCGGCGACCAAGAATGTCGCGTTTTGCAGCAGTGCTAAGTGTGGTGGGGACTGCAACCAGCTCTCTACCTGCGGTACCCGCCTCAGTGGCGGGTTCTGCTACACCCCGGGCACTAAATCCATCCTCGTTAGCGGCAACAACTAGATAATGGTAAGATGTTCGGGTCGGTCCTCGAGGTCGTTCATGCTCAACTTTACGGTACAGATCTGGCAGTAGTGCGGACCCCGGCCTTACATAGCTTCACCGTTCATCAAGCGTGTTTGTTCCTCCAATCCGAGTACGCACTGACCGACATCCAAGACCCTTCTTCCTATTTATTGCTCCCCCAATTAAGCAAAAAACCCATAAAAATATTGTGTTAGTAAATATGGACTATGACCGTTGCAGAATCTTATATTTGTGTACATATTGCCCGTTCATCTACCTTCGGTAATTGCCGCCGCGGATGTCGGACCCTTCCTCAAATGGAAATCACTTCCCCATTTGCGGACTCTGTTGCTTGATCCGTTAGGGAGCGGAGCTCTCTAAAACAAAAACCACAACCGAACTCCATATCGAGCGCATCCCCGCGTTTTCGGTATCCTCACGTTAACCATACTCTGGGCAGCGCCCCGCCCTCACAGCACTGATATACGAGGTTGAGAAGAAGGCTTCTGGGTCTTGTTACCCGTATTAAGTACGTCGCTATTTGAAAAAGTCCACCACAACACCCACTCACAGGCCATCTAATCGACGGCCCACTTGCGCCGGTACTTACTCGTCCTTGATTGTTAGCATAAATACCGCGACGTGATCGTTCATTTTCTCTACGTCAGTGTTGCAGTGATACCCGTTCAGTCTCTCATCATACCCCTGTTCACAGCCGTGCCCTTGATCACCGTATCTTCACTATCCACCCTTCATTCGGAATCTGGCTTTAATACTTACTGCTGTTTCAGACTTCTTTGATAGCCAGTGCTTGATGCTGCTTGATGGCATCCATTTCCTTTTAATTCCAGACCAACTCCCCTTCGAAGGCGTCGAGAATAGTCACGGCACCTCCTGAAAGAAAGTATTGGTTTCATTTACCCTGGGCAAGTTGCATTATATTAGAGATGGTTTGGGTAGATTCCCTCAACGAAATAGAGTAGATGAAACGTGGAAAGGTGAGACGGTAAGTGTAGAGATGGAGAGTAAGATAACCCAGAAGTGGTGTACGCAGCTGGGTTACATGTATGGAATAGTGGAGTCAAGAACGAGCCTCAACGGAAGCCCGTCGGCGCGAAGCTATGCAAAATCGTTAGCAATGAATCACACTTCGATACAATACACCCGAACGTAAACATTGGGCCTCCTGCCGTGTCTGCAGAGAACACGGGCATGGAGCCAGCAGGTGGGGGCTTGCCCGTCTGGAATGCGCGTCTTGCTATTTTCTTCTGCTTATGCGCATGACAATCTAGCCGTCCGCCGTTAACAACATTTATAATTGTGAACGGTTTTCAAGCTTGCCTTGTTTGTGTCGGGGCCAGTCGACCTTCTGACAGTCCTGGCTGCAGTAGAACACAAGATGGCAAGCCGCACACCGCTTGTACTGCGCAACCGGTTTCTCCTTCTCTACACATGCAGGCCGACTGCAGTTTTTCAGGATTAACTCTTTAGTGTCTTCACAGCTGTCGGCCCATTTCCACACATCATTCTCCATCCAGATATTTTGCGTAAGGTAGGGGTAGTCTTGAGCATCTTCTGGCCCGTTGTGCGCGCGAGGGCCGTCGTTCAAGCCAGCTGCACAGGTTCAGCCCTCAACAAGTCGGATAAAGAGAGGTGCATACACACCTGGCCGAGGAACCTCCGCCAAAATCTTGACCAGAATGTTTGGATTTGCCTTATTTGCCAGGATCAAATACCGCTTCGCCTGTTCGCAGTCGCCGTAGATCTTGAAGCTCGCTAACGCGGCGGTATATAGGATGGAACCGCCCAACCATCGTAATTTGTTCTCCTCTATACTACGTGGGAGGGCGGGGCTGGGGGGCGAAGGCGGTTCCTCCGCGCTTCGGCGGATCTCCAGTCTTCAGCGTGTTCTCGGTAAGCCACGCCTGCGAGAAGAAAAGAGCATCGGAGAAACGGTTTGCCTGGCAGAGCATCGAACCAAGCCAAAAGCGCTGCCAAAGGTTGTCTCCAGGGCAGAGCCGGAGCATTTCCGAGATGGTATTCCTGATACGCGGATTTGCCAGTCAGATGAGGAACCGAAGAAGACAAAAAAAGAATAAGGATGGCGCACGCAGATTCCTGTAACTGCCCGTTCTCGAAGTACATGCTCACAAGAGCTTGCAGAACGCGCATGTACGCTCTCGTTTCAAGCAGCATCCAAAAATGCCCAACGCGGTCTCCGTCATCGTCGAAGCTTTTCTCCCCCAGGGCATTTTTGATACCGCGTCCTGGAATGGTACGGAATAAAAATGCGTCCTGCGGTCGTGGATGTCCCCTGCGCACCTCGTCGTTCCACGTACTCGAGAGCCTCTATGCCATCGGGTCGGGGAAATAGAAAGGCGACCTGGATGATAGCGTCGAGGTTGTTGTGGTCCTTGATAGATTTGAGAAGATACGGAACCGCCTTTTCTGTCTTTTTCCTGCGGCAGAGCTCCTCTACCTTCTCGAGACTAGTCGAAAGAACGAGGTCCAGCGTTTTTGTCGAACCAGTGTGCTATTGGCACTCACTTTTTCCTTGAATCCTCCGACACCAAGCCACCACCAAGCCCAAGGTGCGCCTCCATTCCATGTTTTCGGTTCATGTTATCCGGGTGTTTCTCAGGAGGCGAAGTTTAGCGACCAGAAAGTGAATAGGGAAGAAAAACAAGCAGTGTGGCGTGGATCATAATGCATGTTGGCTCATGCCACAACTAAATTAGATTGCACGTGATCGTAACGCGCCGCGTTTTGATGGCATCGCGTCGAAGCCCCTGAGCAGCTATTGTGATGAATCGATTGTAGAGAACGAATCTTATGTAAGGCATTCCACGAGATGATTTTATAAGCTGATGGACCTCCTTATCAAGGGAACAATGGGAGTCTTCAATGGAAATCGCTCCTGGGCAATGCGAAAGTGTGGAACTCGGACAAACTCTAGGCCCCTAGGCCCCGCTGCTTAAGGACGAGGATTAGAGTGACTCAACCACTCACAATTCAACCACTCACAATTGGCTTTATCTCGAACGAAAGCCGAATGATCTTATTGTAAAACTAGTACAAAAGGCGGGATTGTAAAATATCATACGCATCGCAACACAAGGAAGAAGAGGTCCGTATTAGAATCACGGGATAAATGAAGATGAAGGTGGTACATAGAGTGCGTGCTGGTGTGGTGTGAGGTATCGATGTCAATGCAGATGATGAGGATCCTAGTGAAATAATGATATGCCAGATAAGGGGTATGATTGCGACGGCTATGTGTCTAGCACATAAAAAGAATGGAGCTGAGGGCT